TCCCCCCCCCCCCTCTCTCTCTACCTCTCTCTCTGTCTGTGTCGTGTGCGTGTGTGCAGCGTATGACGTCCTCATTCCGGCGTGAGTGAGTTGAGTGAGTCAGTCAGCCGCTCGGGACTTGCACACCACGTGCGGCCTTACGGATGGTCGATGCATTCAAGGGTTCTGCTCTTCTCTGGCAGCTTCATAGCGGCCTTCAGCGACCGCCCATCGCCCGCCGACCTGTGCCTGGTGGTCCTCACCTCGGCCTACCACACCGACGACGCCGTGCCACTCGAGCACACGGACAGCTTCTACAGTGGCCTGCACAGGAGGGATGACCACCATGGTGGAAATGGTTCGCTGCCGTCTGTGGTGCTGCTGGGGCGTGTGAGCGACGACCAGCTGAGGGCACTCTACGCCAACAGCATCGCACTCGTGCACATCTCAAGGTCGGTATTTGGCGCACATTCGCTGTGTGCCGATGGATGGATGGATGGCTTGCCGTGTGTGTGTGTGTGTGCAGGGGCGAGGGGTGGGGGAGGCCAGCGGTCGAGGCCTTGTCCACTGGCCGTCCTCTGGTGACTCACTTCTATGGCCCCCCGGCTGTCTACCTGAGGCACGACTTCGCACTGGAGGTGAAACTAAGGGGCCTCACCGCCGTCACCGAGGGCGCATTCAAGGCAGGTGGTGCAAGGGCAGACAACTGTGAGTGACACACAGGGAGTGTCTACCTACCTGTGCTGTCTGTCTGTCTGTCTGTCTGTGTGTCTGTCTGTCGTCCTTTCGGTGTTCCAGGGTCACCGCTGGGCAGAGGTGGATGTCGGCAGCCTACAAGAACAGCTCAAGGTGGGTGAGTGGGAGTGGGAGGGGGGCGGGTGGGACAGACTGACATCACACACGCACACGCACACACCCACCCATTCAGCCATGTTCCGCCTCTCCAGGCGATGCTGCACCTGTATGAGAGCGACCATGACAGCTACACGAGAATGGCTGCGGCCGGCCGCGCTGCCATGGTCGACAACTACTCCCTGGCGCAGATCGGATCGGTGCTGCTGGGCATGTTGGATGAGCTGCGAATCGCCGGCGCGACAAGGGTCAACTGGGGGGGTGGGGAGGGGGAGGGTGGTGGTGTGTGTATAGCAGCTGACTCTAGTAATTGGGGGGATGATGGTGGGACCTGCCGTGCTGATGACATGATGACATGGGGCACCCCTTCTGGTCGGTCAACATGATGATTGATCAGTCTCACACTCATTCATTGGTCCGTCCATTTCCGTGCACTCACCCGGTCACAATCCATCCATCCATCCATCCATCCATGAGGGCATAAAGGATATAGATCTCTCCTTACGAGACCCAGACACGCATACACACCCACCCCACCCCACCACACACCACCCCACCCCACCCCACCCATGTAACTATGTAGCTGTGAGTGCTTCTACATAAACAGTTGTCCATCCATCCATCCATCCATCTGTTCTCTCTCCCCCACCCCACGGCATCCATCACTAATTCCTCCCTGCCTGACGTCGACTGACTGTGGATGATGTAGAAGGCGTGCAGACACCTGAATTACATATAGTGGTAGAGATATGAAGGCCCCCGGACCACCCACGCAGCGCATCCAAGAGAGAGAGAGACAGTGAAAGAGAGAGAGACAGAGAGAGAGACTTAGAAGAGGTCTGCGTGTGTGCAGTTAGTTTAGTCATGACGTACGGAGGAATTACATACAGACACCCGTCCCTCCCCCCTTCCCCTTACTAGACCGAGTAAGTGTTTCATTGTGTGTGTGTGGGTGGGTGGGTGTTAGCTGCGTGTGTGTCCATCCATCCATCCATCCACACGTGAGTCTGTGTGTGTGTGTGTGTGTATGAGTGCGTCTGTACAAGAGCCGTCAACCAACCGAGCTTGCAAGATTGACGGCGGCATGATCCACCCAGCCAGCCATTCCTTCCTTGCAGACAGACCGATAAAGGGAAGGGAAGGCACACATAGGCACACACAGGGATAAAACACATCATGTGGGCCGGAGGGAGAGAGGAAGGGCCATGCCATGCCATGGTAGCGCACATCACGCACATGTCCACCCCACCTCACCCACCTACCGAAGCCATCCATAACTACCACTATACGCATCCCACCCGTACGCACCCCAGACCGCCCGGAACACACTCACACAGGGAGGGAAAACCACACTTACCTTACGCGGCCAGCCAGCCAGCCATCCGGCAAACACATCGATACGATCGGCCGGCCGTTGACACGACCGGCCTGCCATTAGCTGATCTAGCTAGCGCTTCTTGCTGGCCGCCAGTATTGCCGGCATTCTCGGTATCGGCAGAGGGGGTGGATGGGGCACGCCGAGCGGCCCGGGCGGCTGGACGGCGGCGGTGCTGGTTGCGCTTGCGCTTGCGCTTGTGGATGAGGCAATGGTGGCGATGATGTCGCGTATGAAAGCGGAGAGGTTGGTGTCGAAGTGCTCCTCGCACAGAGGGGACATCGCAGACTTCTCAGCCACGTGCTTGACCGCTTTCCACAGCTGATGGATGGATGGATGATACACACACACAGCACAAACAGCACACGGCACACGGCACACGAACAAACAACACGCAACGGTCAGCCAGTGAACCGAAGTGTCGTTGTGTGTGTGTGGGCGTGTTCAGTTCACCTGCGGGTCTCTCATCCGGCCGAAGACAGCATTGGTTGACACGTCAGCCCCCTGGTCGACCCCTGCCTTGACCCTCTCAATGAGCCCCTTGATCCGCCGCTCATCCAGCAGCGTCTCGGCCCTCGCCAGCAGCTGCAGGTGGGGCGGCATCGGCAGCATCACACCCCTGCCCATACTCGCCAGGATGTGAGCCGTCTCAGCTTCAGAGGGCCGCGTACCGTCGGCCCGCAGCGACGAGGCGAGCGAGGGCAGCTGGTCGGCAGGGAGACTCTTCCTGCGCAGCAGAGCGTCCGTGAAGTCGATTGCCTCTGCGGGCGGGTGGCCGACGGAAAGGCCGATGAGTGGGGGGCTGGCGAAGGGGGAGGGGTATGGGAGGGCCGGGGTGGTTCTGCCCCGGGTCAGCGGAAAATGGGGCGACGCCGCGGTGGGTGGGGGTGGCGGCAGCAGTGGCACGATGGTCTTGCGCCGGTCTATCTCTCTCGGTCTGGCGCCCTTGGACGCAGGAGGGGTCGCCGGCGGCGCCGCCATGTCAGCCAGGGGCCCCATGCCGCTGGGTTGGTAGCCAGGCGACACGGGCGAGTCGCCCCCCGAGTCGCGATTCCTCGTTCTCGGCCTCTTGGCCCGCCGCCTCTTGGAAGATGACTTGCACGGCGACTCCGGTGCGGCGCTGTCGTCATCGTGCTGGGGCGGCTGGGGGAGCGGGGGAGGGGGCGGGCGGGACTGAGACCTCAGCAGTGATGACAGCGGCGGTGCGGGGGTGGGCAGCCGCTGCAGGAAAGGCATGTCGTCGTTGGCCACCTTGCGGCGCCGCTTCTTGGCCTTGAGCGACGCGGCTATCCCCATGCCCACTGCCATATCCATGCCCATCCCCATTGCCATCCCCATTGGGTCCATCGGCGGCAAATGGAACGCCGCGGCCAGCTCGCTCGGCGACGTGTCGGCACCACCACGCCCCAAGTGTCCCTGGAGGATTGAGACCGCCTTGAGGCCCTCGGCGAGGCCGCCATCCATTTGCTGCGTCAGCCTAAGCAGATCCATGCTCTGCGGGGGGGGCGGGGGGGACGAGAGGCCGTTCTTGGACACTGGTGGAGGGGGGAGGGAGTCAAGAGGCTGGAACAGCGGCGGGGGCGGCAGCTCTCGATCTGCGTCTGCAATACGCCGCGACCTCCTCTGCCCCTTCACGCCGCCGCCCTTGCTGCCCTCCCCGTCGCTGTCGCATTCTTCCTGGTCGAACGAGGGCAGAGGAGGTGCCGGGAAAGCCGCTGCAGCCATCATGGGATCAGGCATGGCCCCCATGAGCTGCCCCATGCCGTCGACGAGGCCCTTGAGGTTCATGAGCTGGGGGAACGCCTCGGGCAGCGGCACTTGTGGGGGCTGGTTGGGGAAGGGGTAGGGCAGCCCATGCGCTTGCCACATCTTGCTGACCTCCGAGTCCTTGAGCGCCAGCCGGAAGATCTGACAAAAGGCCGCGTAGGGCGTGATGTTGCCGACATGGCTCGCCACGGCCCCCAGCTGGAAGCCCAGCGTCTTGACGGCCGTCCGCAGCCGGGCCTCCTCGGCGCGCGATAACAGCAGCAGGAAGGCCGTGCCGTTGGTGCTGAGGTCGGTCTGGAGAGCCCGGTCGAGGGCCGTCCGGAACCCCTGGGACGCTGTGTGGATGCTGTACTCGTGCTCACCTGAACGAACGACCCGCCAACACAACCGAGACGGAAGGCAAAATAAATAAGCTAAAGGTTCGTTCCTCGCATGGTGTGTGTGCCGTGCCATTCATTGGTCGTAGACTGACTGACTGACCAGTGATCTCGAGCTGAATGAGGTTTGGCGAGGCGATGAGGCAGAGGCGCACGTCGCACCCCTCGTGTGTGCAGCACTTGAACTCCCTGACCGTGACGCCCTCGCCCGGCCCGCCCTCTGCCTCACTGGGCAGCACCTGCCGCTCCAGCTTCCACGTGAAGAGGTTGAACTCAGGCTGCTCGTCCTGCACCCTCTTGAGCTGACTCAGGTCACCGGGGTACCGCAGATCGACCTTCCGCACAGCCATGACCTTCGCACCGCCCATCGGGATCGGCTGCACATCAGCCGCAGAGGCCTCCAGGTCGCTGCCGTCGCCATCATCTGTCAAGGGGACCTCATCGAAGGGCGAACCAGAGGAGCCGGACAGCGGCAACGAGAGAGGAGGGTAGCTGCTGTCCATGGCGGCTGGTGTGGCCGACGCCTCCGGATGCGGCCGCCCGATGGGCAAAGTCCCCGCCGTGAGGGACAGATCACGCCGGCACCGACTCCTTGAGCGAAAGAGCGCCGGGAGAGCGCGTCATAGATATAGTTTGTCGGCAGGTCGTTCGATGCGAGGTCGGGAGAGCAGGATTCCACTCGCTCCTCTTATGTCGTTGCACGTCGTCTTCAGAGCGCTCTTCGGGTTGAAAGCTCGCACGATGACGATACGTTTCAGTCCTTTTCCTTTCTCTAAGCCATTGATTCATGGGGCACACAATGCCTATCAATTATCGACACTTAGGTTGTGGCTAGCTAGCTGCATTGGCAGACAACTGCAGCGCGCATGGACTCACACACTGACAGCGGATGGATCTGTTGACGGTCACTGTCATGGCCGTCCCTGACTCTGCCACGAGTAAGCCTGCACAGACATGAGAAGGACAAGAACGCAGTGCAGCTGAAGGCCCGTGGCAGGTTGCCCTCTCATGCAGGCAGGCAGGCAGGCAGGCACCTACTTGCATGAAGGGGTGGGCCCAGTATGCGCCCAGCGTGGCGGCCAGCACAACCGCATACGGCAGGCGAACGAACTCCTTCCTGCGTCAAGCCAAGCACCGCAGTTATTGACGGCATCCGGGTGTGCGTCGTGCAAGCCCGTCGGTCGCACCAGTAGTCGTCTGGTAGTCGCTGCCGGCCGTCGATGACGGCTGCGAAGGGCACCACTGAGGTGCGCCGCTGCACCTGGTCGAACGCCTCGCCGTACTTGGCCCTCAGCCTCTGGTCGCCGTGCCACACACCGAACAAATGATGGGCCATCAGCAACACAGACGTCCACAAGGTGAAGCTGCACACACACGAGAGGCGGAGGGAGATGAGATGCTCAGGCGGACGGACGGAAGGACTCACTCACCTGTTTCCGATCCAGAGTGTGTGTGCGAGGCACCAGAGGCCCTGCCCCACCATCTGAGGGTGCCGAGTGATCCGCATCACGCCGCTCTCCCACAGGTGCAGCTGAGGCTTGTCGACTGCAGCGACCTCGAGCAGGTTGAAGGTGGAAGGGTAGAGGAAGAAAAACGACACCAGGGAGAGACCCCACACCACCTCATGCACACCTGCATCATATCATAAACACACACAGCAAACTTCCTCGTTGTGTGCGTGTGCGTCGACGCAGCGCAAACCGCACCTGGCACGTTCCTCAGGTCCCACAGCTGCACGCCATCATAGCTGCACACACACCACACCCACATGGACCGATTGATTGCACACGCCCCGCCCCGCCCCGCCCCCGGGCGGGCGGCTGGCTGGCTGGCTGGCTGGCTGAGTGTACCGATGATTGATGAAGTAGGCAATGGCAGAGAAGGCCAGTGGCAGCGACATCAGGGCAAAGACGACGCGCCAGGCACGAGCACCTATGATACCCTCCATCCGTGGCCGCAGTGACGCCAGGCCGCTGTGGGCCACTGCAAATATGCCCATCAGCTCCGTCATGACCACCTGCAGTGCACCACCACCACCAAGAAACAAACAAACGACAATCAGCTGCTTGGGGTGTGTGTGGATGGACGGACACTCATTTGCTTTGTCCTGAGTACCTCTGGTGAGTCAGAGGTGCTTTCCAGCAGCCGGAGGTAGTCCTTGCCGAAGCCGGTCTCTGGGCTGATCCATGACACATACAACGCACCTGCAGACAGACATACAGACAGACAGACACACAGACAGCCACCAGTGAGAGATCAGGCACAGACAGGACCACAGCCGTCCAGATGGGTCTACTGTTTGTCACCGACCGAGCACAGTGACGAGCAGAACAGAGAAGATCCCCCAGCTCTTAAGGCTCTGCTCCTCCAGGTCGAACCTCGCTGCATCCTCACCGACGAAGCCAACAGCATCTGCCGCCCGGTCCTCGCGCGTCGCCTCGAACCGCACTGGCTGGAACACATGGTGACGGGGCCGCTCTTGCGTTGGCTGCGGGTGCTGCGGATGCCTCCTGGGTGGCGGATGAGTCCGCCTGAGGGGTGATGGCTGGAACGCTGACGAGCCGATGAATAATGTGGATAAGGCGATGAGTGAGATGAGCATTGGGTCAGACATTGTACGAGATCTCTTGCAAACAAGCCCCGAAGAGCTCATTGTTCCTCCGCGCGCGGCGATTTCACGTAACGGAAAGCGCCCAGCTGGAGCGTCTGATCTCGCGCGGCGATCGGTGCGAATTCAAAGGAATCATCGCCTTTGATGGCGCCCACGTGTGCCTTTGCACCATTGCCTCTTGTTCCATCTATCGCAAACAGCGGCCTTCTTTCGAGATCTGGCAGCATCAACAACCCATGCGTACGATGGAGGAGCACAGCTCTGGTCAGACGGCAGCCGCGTGTGCCGTCACCTCTTGATGGGAGCTGCACTCAACTGCAATCAACGGCTGCTCCTGCTTTGGCGGTGGGGCAGCCAGCATCTTGTGTGTACTGCACTGTTGGCTGTTTGCCTTCTCCGCATTAATTCACTGTGTGTGTCGAGTGTAGGTGCCGTCCCTCGCCGGCGGGCTGCCGGTGCCCAATCCAGTCATCTTCAAGGCATCGCTCGGCGCCGTTCTGAACCTGCTGTATGTGGGAGTGATTGGCGCCATTGCTGGGCACCTCGGTGTGCTGGACCAGGCCAAGATCAGGCGAGGCGAGGCGAGTCAGCAGCAAGGCTAGCCAGGCTTTGCAGCTGAGTGTCTGGTCAATGCATTCGGCGTGCAGGTGTTTGAGTGAGCTGGTGTATTCCATCGCGCAGCCGGCCTTCCTGTTCGTGTCTGTGGCTGAGACCATCTCCACCACACCGGGCGGCCTCTCTCTCCTCGCCCCTCTGCCCGTCTTCGCTGTCCTGCAGATACTCATAGGTAAGGTAAGCCACACAGTCACGCACTCATCCAAGGCGCATCGCATCAGGTGTGTGCACCTGCAGGTTCGTGTGTGGGTGGTTTACTGCGGCATGTCGGCCGGCTGCCCCGTGGCAGCAGGGAGGCTAGGCAGGTTGCGGCAATGGCTACATTTGCCAACTCCGGCCCTTTGCCTCTACTCTTTTGTCGCGCCCTCTTCAGGACCCATAAAGGTGCCGTACCCCACGCCCATGGATCCACATGTGTCAGTCACTGTGTTCACTGCTCATATGGTATATGCCCTTCCATGAAGATGCCTCGATCCTTCAGCGCTGTGAAGCCTTCATTGCCTTTTACCTGCTTGGGTGGTCGCCCTTTCTGTGGTCGCTGGGCTACAACATCCTTGCTGATGACCGAGACAAAGTGAACAACAAACCATCGTGGAGTGGTGTACTGAGGGAGGCGCGAGACAGTTTGGTCAGGCCGCCTGTGCTCGGGTGCCTCGCTGGCGCACTCGCAGGTCCACGCATTCACATGGTGGCAGGGAAGGAAGGAAGCAGACGGGTTTGTGTTGTGCGATGCAGGAGGTCTTCCGTGGACTCGCTCGTTTTTCTTCGCCAATCCTTCGTGTGTGGTTCGTCCGCTAGTGGATGCGGTGCGCAATGTGGGCAGTCTCTACCTGCCGGCTGTACTACTCACCCTCGCTGGTCGGTCAGACTGCCGATGACTGACAGCACGCTGACGGAACTGACTGACACACGTACGTGTATCGTTGCCGCCGTCGTGTGTGTCTCTCAGGGTCGCTGTATCGTGGATTCGCACAAGGGGGATTCCGCGTCAATGTAATCAAGAGGAGATACGGCGATATAGTCTCGAACACACGTTCGTGTCAGTGCAGCGGTGGCTATTTGTTTGGCTGGTTGCAGGCTTTTCAGCTGCCGGCCGTCGCACTGGCGAGATTCGGTGTGATGCCCGCAATCACATTTGCCGTCGTCAGACTCGCGCAGAGGACATCGCTCATACAGGTGTGTTATGCAGAGTATGACAGACAGACTGCAGACAGACAGGCACTCATTATCACCACGACTCTATGGCCCGTCCCGCCCTCCCTCCCTCCCTCCCTCCCTCCATCCCATCAGGCTGACCCAGTGTTGATGTTTCTGCTGCTGCTCGAGGGCTGCATGCCTCCTGCGCAGAATACTGTCGTCATTCTGCAGGCAAGTGGCAGATACACCCAGCTGGGAAGGTGCGAGTCGTTTCCACAAGGTATGTGCATGTGGATGTGATGTGTGCAGAAACAAGGCCAGCGCGAGGAGGCCGAGTCGATGGCGCAGACGCTGGCGGCCATCTATGCCCTCTCGCTGGTGCCGCTGCCCTTTCTCATCTCGTGCATCTTAGACACTGCCGGCGTCTCTTTGACGACGACCTGACTGATGCATGCATGTGTGTCTGTGTGTGTCTGTGTATAGTATTGCAAGCCGGATAGTCTTTTGTGTGGTGGCAACAAAAGAGAAGTGCATTCACACACAGCACACCACAAACCCTGTCAGTCCCCTTCTTCTGCCCTCGCCGTGTACAGAATTCCCTGAGAGTATTCACCTTCGATGTTATGTGACGGTCTCGCCCACCCACTCAAGGCATGCATCCATGGGTGTACCACATCACGACCATCGGTCGGTATACAGCAAATCAAGGGTCAAACACCACACCCAGGCAGGCAGGCGGACGGGACGGACAGAGAGTCAGTCAGTCTTCGCCCGCCAGCCCGACAAGACAGCTCTCGCTCACAACTAGCTCAGGGTCCTCCACGTGGCGCTCCCTGACCACACACACACACACACACCCACAGCCGTTTTATCTCGCGGTCTGTCTCTGGCTGCATCTTGTCTCGCTTACAGTGCGTGTATGGCTTCTTTGGACCCGATGGCCCCGAGAGCGAGTGCCGCCTCGTGCCGTGCCATCGGGTGCTCGCTAGCGTCACCCAGGCACTGAACCAGCGCCGACACGCTGTCCTCACTCTGCATCTGACCCAACACAAACGCCAACTGACGCAATCCACACACACAAGCACAATAAAATAAGTGGACCATTCGATGGATGCCATCGCTCCTTCCGCTCTCTCAGGTTGACTGCGTGTCCAGCCGCCCGCCTGCTTCGCCTCACCTCGTGTCTGAAGAGAGCTGACGTCCGGTCGTCCGTGAGGGCTCTCGACACTGCCTCCACAGCACCACTGCCACCCAGATTCCGCAAGGCAAACAGACTCTCGTACCTGGTCACACACACATACACACACACGACCAGACAGACAGACAAACAGACAAACAGCGTCTGTGTGGATCGACTGACTCGCTGGCCTTGATTCGTCTACCTACTTGAGCCAGAGGGGGGATGTGTGGTCGAGGAGTGTCTGGCGCAGTGCCGGGATGTCTTGCTTGCGGTAGCCCTTCTTGGTGGCGAGGGGATCGACGGTGTTGTAGGGGCTCACGGACGAGTCCGCACCCGCGGCCGATGGCGCACCAACAGGACTGCACCAATCACCCACCGCACATTCACACACATCACATCCAGGTGTCTTAAGCTGTGTTGTCATTCATTCTCTCTGCAGGCCTCGCCATCGACTAACTTGTGGAGCGTCCACCCCTTGCCCCTCTGAGTCGCCTCCTCTTGATGCCGCTGGTCCTTATCGCTCTCATCAGCCGCTGCTGCTGGTGGTGATGGGTCGGCATCTGATGGTTCCTGCTCCTCCTTCTTGTCCTCCAGCGACCTCACTGCCAGTTCGCAGGTCTCGCGAACAACGGCGGGGAGGGAGGCATCAGAAGCGTACTCGCGGATCTGAATGTATATGGCATAACGGACGCACTTATTCTCCACATCGTGTCGTGTCTACACCCCAAAAAGGCTCACCAGATCCAGGCTCTCGGTCGATTTGACGGCCGCCAGGGCCTCAGCAGCCTGGAGCAAGGACACGCGGCCGGCATGAATCACAACAGTCTGTGTCTGTGTGTGTGTGTGTGTGTGTGTGTATCAATGCGGTCACCTACCTCATGGCGAACCATATCGTCCTCTGCTGGGTCGCTGAGGAGCTGCGTAAGAATGGGGATGGCAGACGGCTCCCCCAGCTGACCCAACACATACGCTATCTCGTGCCTGCTCATAGACACACAACGCAGCAGCGCAGCAAACACACACACCGACAGCATCATCTCTCTAACTGCGGGATCTCTTGTTCATTTGTTGTGGCTACCGCACCTGAGGAGGTTGGATCTGGTGTTCAGTCCCAGCTGCAGTGCCTCCACTGCCTCTGGCCCTCCCTTGTGTCTGGCGTAGTAGAGCATCTTCATCCTCTCTACGATGCTGGCGTCGTTACTGCCGATGACCGCCCGGATAGTCGAGATATGAGGACATCCAAACACATCACTATCAACACCATCAACAACTCCCGACATGGCGTCCAAAGCGTTCCTCTGCAGGGTTCGCCTCCCTGTGGTGAGCTCGCGCCTCTCGCCGCAAACGCCTTGATGGAGCAGAGACCTCAGCTGAGGTCAGCCTTTAGCTGCCAGCGGTCGGGAGGGGGAGAATGGAGGGGAGGGGAGGGAAGGGAGGGATCTGCCTGGGGGCTTGTGTGGGCGTCTGCATGCTATGCAGCCCCGGCGTTCCTGCGCGCATTGCCTCTTCCGTCCCTTTCCACACCACAGTATTCCGTTCACGCGTTTGTGACGGACGGCTGGGACTGAGAGCGGGACACGTGACTCTGTCCCACTCGCCTTCTCTCTCTTGAGCCTTCTCTCGAACGACAAGCCGTCGCTCGGTCTGCTGCAGGGCGTCCTGTGCGCCGCAGGGGGGTCTGTGAGTCTTGTCCCCACCGGGCCTACAGGTCCACACCGCCCCCTGCCAACCGCTCTCTCATGCTTTGAAAACCGAAGACACGACCCAAGACACGACCGGACAACCATCGCTGTACACCCCCTTCGTCACATCAGGCCAACCCTCCCGCTATGTCAGGGCTGCTCCCGACAAGTGACGGAGCCCACCAGCCCGGCCCCTACCCCCTGATGTCGACTGAGAAGGACCTGGAGGAGGCCCTCGAGAAGGTCGAGTCCGAGAGGAACACGGCACAGCAGCGGTCGATTCCCAACCACAGTGACCTCGACGACCTCGTCCCACACGACATACACAGAGACAAGCGACAGGGGCACGCCAATCGCAGAGACAAACCAGCCCTCGGCGGCCCGAAACGCGGCCGCCACATCATCCCCGCGGCAGCCGATCGGCCTCCAGCTACGACCTCCTTCTGTTTGCCGAGCCGTGAAGCACTGGGTGTGGTGCTGCCCCCTGGGACGGATGGGGAGGTGCTGGGTGAAGGTGCCGACGAGGTGAGATTTGGGGCGACGGACGGGTGTGAGAGAGGGAGCAGGGCGATGGATGAAGAGGTGGACACAATGCTCAAACTGCTGGGGGGAGACGATGCCGAGGAGCTACAACAAAGAGAGAATGGGGGCAAGGAACAGGTGAGTGACTGAGGGAGGGAGGGAGGGAGACATCGGTGGTAGACAGACATGGTGTTGTGTCTCTTGTCCCTCCCAGGCTGGACCTTCATCGCCTCCCGGACAATCACAAGTCACGTGAGCCCCACACTCCTGACACACAGATCCCCTCCCTCATTGTCCTGCTCGTGCAGGCTCCCGTCTCACCTGCACCTGCCCCTTCCTTCACGGGCCGGCCGCGCCACCGACACTAACGGAACCAGCGACGACCTGATGCTGCGATCGATGGCTGGCCCGGACAGCAGCGAAGGACCACACGGTCTCAGACAAATCAGCGGAGACCTAAGACAGCAGGTAGGTCACACAGCAGAGCACGGCACTGCACTGCACGGAAACCCGAGAGACACATAGTTTGGGTCAATTAATTCCTTCCAGGCCCTGGTCGGCCGCGGTGGTGATTGTGATGACGTTGCTGGTGCTGATGGTTACGGGGCACACGACGGAGAAGGGGGTGGTGCGGGGGAGGGTGCGGGCTACTTGGGTTATGAGGGCCGCATGCCGTTCGACGTGATGCACCGGCTGATGCAGTACCAGATGCACTACCCGCACTTCAGCCCCTTCATGCCCTTCCCCTTCCCACCACGGTACGATATACAGGCGAACAACTCAAACAGAGACACACACATGTATGTGTGTCTCCCCTGCGGTCGTCCCCACAGTATGATGATGCCCTTCTTCACTCGGTCCCCCTCCCCGGGCTCCAACGAAGAGGGGCCTTGCACGAGGGGCAAGAAGGGCACCCGCGGCCGACCCAAAGGCCGCCCGCGTGGGTCTACCCGGGGCGGCTGGAACGTGTCGCCGCGCAAGGGGAGAGGGAGGGGCCGTGGCGCCAAGGGGCGCAGAGGCGGTCGCGCCACAAGCAAGGCGGTGACGCCCCCTCCCCCTGGTATGTCAATGGCTGAGGACCCCCCTGCCGATGACGGGTCGGACGAGTGGCGTCCGGAGATGGAGGGCGAGAGCCAGGACGGCACCAAGGGGGAGAGCAGCGATGAGGATGAGGACGAGTACGTGCCGCGTCGTGTGTCGGGTGGCCTGCGAGTGCCCAAGTTGCTGGAGGTGGGCGGCACGGGTCAGGTGATAATAGAGGAGGAGGAGCGCTACCGGCCGCCGCCAAAGTCGCGACGTGTCAAGGTGGAGGGATACTTGCGGAGGAGGGAGACGGGTGTCGAAGAGGTCACCATACATGGGCTCAAGATCAGCAAGGACGACCTGCTGGGGCTCTGTGAGGTCTCAACCATCCCGCCGAAACTGGTCAGGGTGGGGAAATGAGAAGGCGGGCTACATCGATAGGTGTCGCATCCATGGTATGTTCGTGTGCGTGTGTGCTGCAGCGGTTTGAGTATGAGGATGGCATGACGCTGACACTGGGTGAGGCCGGGCGAGAAATGCTCCGCCGATGCATCCGTCTCAAGGGACTCTCAGGTGTGTATGCGGTCTGGTCTGATGATACCTACCTACCTAAGTGCAGTCAGTGTACCTTGAAGGCATTGATTGATGTGAGTGATGTCCTGTACTGTCGCAGGCACTGAGCAAGGGCAGCGCATCTGTCTGCTCAAGAACGAAGATCTCCTGAGATTGGCATATCGATGGTTCGCCTAAATTGTCTCCCATGAATTCCCTATCTGCCTATGCTATGCCTATCCACCCATTGTCGTGTCAGTGACTTGTGGGGTCTGGTCCAGCGTCTCCACCTGGAGCACATGCGGCGCCTCCCTCTCAGTGTCGTCCATCAGCGGGTGCGCGCCAAGCTCTCTCGCCAGCCGCCCGTCATGGCCAAGGCGACCACATGGACCCCGATGGCCAACGAGCTGGGCGCCCAGATGCTCCTGGCCAGCGAGGCAGCACACCAGTATCACATGGCTCAGATGCTCAGTGAGGCCGTGGCGCAATCCTCAGCCGCCGCACACGCACACGCACACGCTGCTGCTGCTGCTGCTGCTGATGCACACATGGAGGTATGTGGGCTGGGCCGAATCGGGAGGTGGTGCCTGCCTTGCCTTGGTGATGGTTGGTGCCAGCTGTGTCTCTTTTTCTTTCTCTCCTTCGTGTCTGTCATGTGTGCTGTGCAGGATGGCGCCATAGCCATGTACGACATCGACCGGTCGCTCGGCGGCCACCACTACAGTGCTGCTGCTGCTGCTGCTGCTGCAATGGGCGGCACATCGTCCCTCAGCCCCACCCCCTCCCTCGGCATCTCCCCCTACACACACAAACACAAAGACATGCCCACCAAGTACGGCCCCGCCCGCCGCAGCAAGAGGGGAAAGAGCCACCTGAAGACGGAGGCCGACGACGCCACACTGACGACGGACATGGACATGCTGCCACCGGGGCCCACGAGCGATGCCGAGCGGGCCTTCATGGACATGGACCCCGACCCGCGGTCCTCCTCGTCTCGCTTCAAAGACGAGCTGGACGACATGCTCGTCATGGGCCGATGCACTGAGGGAGACGGAGACGGAGAGGCAGAGGGGGAGGGGGGCGGGGGGCAGCTGACGCCGAGCTCGATGCTGCAAAGGCTCACTGCCTGTAGGCCACGGTATCACCCCTACGGCCCTCCTCGTGTGGAGCTCTTCTACCACCCTTCAACAGCTGGAGAGGAAAGTGGTCGGCCATCGAGACGGCACCAGGAGGAAAAGGGCAAGGAAAAGGACAAGGATGAGACAGAAGAGACAGGCAAACAGGACGATAACAACGTCAGTGACGATACGGACTCCTCATCCATCACGCTCATGTCTCAAGGCTTCCAGAAAGTCCTCACCGACCTGGCGACGACGACTAATGGTGGTGGCGATAATGGTGGCGAGTCGGCTTCGTCCCCAACAGCCGAGCCCGAGCCTGTGGGCCTGACCGACCTGCCCCAGAAAGTGGTGGACATGGGAGAGAGGGCCTCGATGGCGTGGCGGTACCTGGTGCCCATCATGAAGCACCTCGACGTGCAAAAGACCCTCAGCAACGCAGTCATGGCACGCGTCAAGACCGAAGACGGGGAGGGAGGGGGAGAGGCGGAGGGGCAGGAGAGCAAATGCCTGGGCCTGTCGGTGCCTTCCATAGGGCTGGTGGCCATCCAGCTGCTGCGGCGCGACAAGCAGGGGGCGGTGCACTCGATTGCCAGAAAGGTGGGGGAGGGGTCCATGGGGGTGGGGGAGGCGACGGGCGTCGTCAGGAGCATGACGTCCGCGGCCATCTCCCAGATTGTGGACGTGCTGCAGGCACCAGCCGTCAAGAAAAGTTGACTGACCGATAGCATACAACATAGAGAGATAGACAGATAGACATATAGGCCTTCAGCATCAAGGGAGCAGGGAGGGGGGAGGGCGAATTCACCGTGGGGGTTGACTGTCTGTTGGGGCGTGTGAGTGCGTGAGTGTGTGTGTGTGTGTGTGATGGGGCGGGGGATCGATTGTTTTGCTGTGGATCGATTGTTTTGCTGTGGCTTGAGTGAGTGAGCACACCTGCTTTCTGCTTCACCAAGTTGTAGGTCCAAAGCGACCTAATTAATGGCTTTTGCTTACACCAAGGGAAGGGAGAAAGGAATTTGCTGCTGTGTCTCTGCCCGCCTGCTTGATGAAAAGCAATGGACAGACAGACGGACAGACAGACGGAGTACGATCATACTTTCAATCTTGAACCAGCGCCAAAGGTCGGTGTGTGTGTTGGTCTGGATGCCCTGTGGGTCCCTCCATGACAGACACGTCAGAAGACACACAAGCACAGCCCAGCACGAACAATAAAGAACCAACAGCACATGCCTGTTATGCAGGTCCGCACGCACGCACGCCGGGAGGCCCCCACGAAAAAGAGAGCAGCAAAGGGGAGAGAGAGGTGTAGGGGGGCTGGGCTGCACCCAGCCCATGCATCCAGCCATCCATCCATCCATCCGACCAAATCGTTAGGAATGATCCCGTCCGTGTACATCAATCACATCAGGATGGATGTAAGATTTAACCGTACGACGCTCCACAGCGGAACTAGGTTCACCAAACAAGACAAGGCAAGGCAAGGCGGGTGCGTGCACAGCCTCTCGATGCGGATGTGTGTATGTGTGTGTGTGAGGGAGTAGGCACACACACACACACACACAGACATCTTTCTTGCGAGAGGATGCGCAGGCAGCCGTCTGTCCTGCGATCCCGTCATCCATCATGCAACAGTCAGTCAGTGAACAGTGCACCCGACACCACACGACACGGCACACCACACAGGTTCATCTATGATCGACCGTATGGATGGACGTCTGTCCATCTGTATGTATGTCGCGGCCACAAATGCCACTCGCCACGTATGCCACGTATGGCAGATATGCACTCACTTGAGCTAAAAAGCAGTGGGTGCGTACACACCAAGCAGCACACTCAGATAGATAGACACAGACAGCACATGTCATGACACACGCAGACAGACAGACAGACAGACACGCCTCGGGCAGGCAGGCACGGATGAACATAAAGGCGACACACACCCACACCACACCACACCACACACACCCAGACAGACAGACAGACAGACACACGTACATGTATCTCCGTGTGAATGAATCCATCCAGCAGTGCTGTCAGTAATTAGGATGCCAGCAGACAGAAAGGCACACCTAATTGCAGGCAGATGCCGATTCAGCTACCCGCCTTGTTGCAGACCTCACGTCGACACACACGTGTCTGAAACGAAAAAACCTTCATTCTGCGCCATCTCTACATCATCAGCAGCACACTCATGGCGACCCCCACGAGCATCGGCATCCCCGGACACGCCAGTTTTGCGGCAGCCCCAGTGGCATCGGAAGCGCCCATCACCTCCACCACACCGACGCCACTGTCATCATTGCCGGTGGCCTGGCTTTTGACCACTGGCATCTTTCCCTCCTCCTTCTTGCCCCCACATCTCTCCAGGCTGAGCCGGTCAGCCTTCGGCTCCTCCAAGCGGATATAGGTGTCGAGCTCTGTCCTGTTGTAGCCCACAAAGCGGCGCTTGAACTCCTCGGGAGAGATGTCCTTGTCGTCGTCTTCCTCAGCGTCATCATTGGCCTTTTCTGTGCTGTTGTTGCTGTCGGTGTCAGTGTTGTTCTCGACTTGCATCCTCCTCCTCCGCCTTTGTCGTCTGTCGACTGCGAGCGACTCGCCGCTGCACAGGGCGAAGGAGGTGTCCGCTGAGACATTCTTGATGTCGTCGAAGCCTGGCTGCTCGACGAAGTCAAGGCAACTCCACCCCTTAATCATCGGGTAATAGCTGCACACAGCACAGGGGGACACTTCTGCGTCAGTGTATCGTGCTCGTGTGTGCGCGTGTGGGCGTGTGTGTGTGTTCGCATACTTACAAGGTGAAGGCGAAGCACATCTCTTCAGTGGTGGACTCACCTCCGAGGATGGGCTTATCCGCCCTCTCTGAGTTGAAGACGCACCTGAACAGACAGACAGACAGGCAGACAGACAGACGGCACACGGAAGAGGAAATGACCAGTGGGGGCGCCTGGTGGTGGTGGGTAGCTCACTCGGTGATGAATCTGTCGCCCGGCAGGATCTTTCGTGAGTCGACGTAGTCCATTTGCTGATGGTTGAAATCGTAGTAGGGCTGGTGGCCCAGGGGAGCCAGCTCCTTCCCATCTGCACACCACACACACACACATCTCATCTGTGCTCGGTAGGTATCCGTGTTGGTGTCTGTCTGTCGCCCCGCCCTCTCGCTCACGCCACGCCCCGCACCTCTGATGTGTCGCGTGATGATGGAGGTGCCGTACTCGTGTGCATGGAGGGCCACACCGAACACCGTCAGCCCGCCAGCCGGCAGCTTCTTGTAAGTGCACTCACTGTATGTTTTGATAAGCACACAGATATCCAAGCCACCGACATGACACCTGCATTTGTGGCTCGTGTCGTGCAGCAGCTCACCCCGGGCACTCATTGGAGAGGAGGAATGAGCTCTCGCCAGGTGGGATCTTGAGCGACTCCAGTGGCCGGCCCAGTGTGAGCACGGCGGCGTCGTGTGTCCGTAGGTCATCCGTATAGAAGAGCCTGAAGCCGCTGCTGTCGGTGATGTTCTCCAGGAACTCACGGTTGTCATAATGCACCTGCGTGTCACACAAAATGATATGCAGGGCGTCTAGGGCGCCTTCCGGGCCTCCGTGTGTGTGTGTGTGTGTGTGTCTCACCTCGAGCATGACGTATCGTGCCGACCCTTGGCCCTTGCCCATGGGCATGCCCGCCTGCTCTGGTGCGACCCACCTGCCGCCACCGACCGCCCAGCCAGCCCAGAAGCCGCATTTCATCTCGCCACACGGCTTGGGACCACTCAACCAGGACGATGCTGCACACACATGAACAATCATGCCTCCCTCCCTCCCTCCCTCTGTCTGTGTGTGTGGGGTGGGTGGGTGTCTGTCTGTATGGCGCATACGCTCTTCCGGTGCGTCGCAGTGGTAGATGATCATGTGATGGACGAGGTCGCCGCCCCTTTGAGGAGAGATCAATGGGTCGTTGGCTACCATATGGTATTTGCGGTCGTCGGGCAAAACCACGGGCAGACACATGTACGTCGTGTGCTTGGACGGGATGGTCACCTGCACACCACACCACACCACACCAAAACATACAAACAAGAAAAAACGATGCGATGGGTGCATGTCTGTGGATCGGCTCGGCGAGTGGATGGATGAGTGGATGAGTGTGTTATTTACGTTAGGCATCTGAATGTCGACGGTCTGGATGCCCGGTGTCTGCTCGATGGGGCTGATCTGGTCGTGGTCTCTGAGAATGAGTGCCTTGGTGACCCTCTTGGCCGGCCCGTGATACATCAGCTCGTGGATCTCTTCAGCTTGCCACGCGGCGATCACCTGCACACACACGCACATACACACACACACGGGCAACACACGCAGCTGCTGTGGCTACACTGCACCCATCCAGCCGTCCATCCATCCATTAAGGCCACGACATACCTACCTTCATTTCTCCCTTGCTGATGTCAAAGTCTTCCCATATGTCGCACGGCTCTATATCCCGCTCAACCAGAAACACGGTCTCCTGTCCAGTGCGGTTGGCGAAGATCAGCTCCACATTCTGCTGTGCGTCGAGCGTGGGCATCGCGTAGTCGGTGGAGAACATGTCCTCCACCACATATGTGCCGTTGCTGCCTTCGCGGACCACAATGATGTCAGCACCCTTCATGCCTGCACGCCGGGCAGATCAACAAGTACGCCAGTGCGTGACGATGCGGCAACCGTGAGATCTGCATTGCGCACTTACCGCCGTTTGCTGACAGGCCCAATCCGACCCATCCGGCCGCCTTAAAGTGTCCTCCGAGCTGGATCTTTCCTCGGCTGTCGTCGAAGCGCCAGTAAAAGATGGCTTCGTCAGAGAGCGGCACGCAGTGGGGGATGGATGACAGTGCTCCCGCGTTGGGCGCATTGCACTCGAGAGCGATGGGTGTGGAGGGGAGGAGAGCCACCAGGACCGCTGCGAGGGACAGCCAGATCATCGCCATCGCGGGTGGAGGGTGCGATATATGGAAGATCGGAGAGGGTGTGTGGAGGTGAGGGGTGCGACGAAACACCCGATCCTTCGCCGCGATCTACAGCGCGATCGAAGGATGCATGCGATGTGGGACGGCGCGAGCGTTCAGGGCACAGGTCTTACAGGCGATGCATGAATGCATGCGTGTGTTCATGACTGACTTTTCGGCCCTTTCTGGGATTCTCACCGCAGCTGATTGCACTGCACCCGATGGGCGGCGGGCGTGGGGGCGGGGCAAGCAGTACATGCAGTGCACGTCTGGCTGGCTGACTGACTGGCTGACTCACTGGTTGGCTTCGGCTGGCGCCTGTGCCATCCATCCATCCATCTCAAATGCATCCCTCGCAGCAAACAATCGCCTGCCTCCTGCCTACACTGCCTACATCACAACGACAGCAAAATCGCAGCCACACATCACATCGACACACCACAGGCACCCATGGCAGGCAGGCAGGCAGGCAGGCAGGCAGGCACACACGAATGCAACGACAAACCAACAAACCAAGCACGGACACCACACCCATCGGTCGGTTGTTAAGCACTCTCTCTCTCTCTTCGCCCACCCACCCCCTACGGCTGGCTGGCTGCCGCCGCGCCCGTAGTGAGTGGTCGGTTTCGTTGGAAAGGACCTCACAGACAGGGCACACACCACAACGACTCTCCCTTCCATGCCTCGCTGGCTGACTGACTGCCTCATCCATCCATCCATCCATCCCTCCACCATACGACGGTTAGTCACACCAGAGTTCCTAGCAGTGCGATCGCCACGTTTGTCCCCTGACTGTACTGTGTGTACTCACTCCACGGTACTTGCTGCATGGTGTGCACAAAAAACGTCAACCGATCACTCACGTGTGCGTGTGAATGTGTGGTATGTCATGGCACGGCACGGCAAGCAAAAAGAGTGACGCATACGGGAAGAAAGAGGAGAGAGAGGTGAGGTGTGAGAGGAAAGGTGTGAGGTCGTGGCGACATCCACGGAGAGGGGAAGGAAGCAGATGGGTGAGAGGCGCATCGCATCGCACCGCACCGCATGGCGTATGGCGATACGATCGATCACACAAAAATACCCCTCGCTGACTCACTGACTGACACGACGGCATGGGTGGACGCCTGAGCCGCTGAGACACTCGGTTGGCTATACTTACATGGAGTGAGTGCACTGACAAACAGAGAAACAGAGAAACAGAGCTAGCTGGCTGGCTGGCTGGCTGTGTGTCGGTCTGTTGGCTGGCTCGGTGCGGGTAGGTATTGAAAGAAAGAAACAGCACTCTGCATATCTTAAGAAAGAGAAACGTCCGGTCTTGTGTCGAGAGATAGATGGCTGACTGACCAACACCTAGAAAGCATGCATATGATGGTATGGCATGGTATCATCGAAAACTGGTGGGCACAGGTCGTCCCATTCCGCCGCTTGGCCCCTGCCTTGCCTCTGGTCTGCCCGTCTCTCTTTCTGCCAGTGGACGTGTGTATGTGTGTCTGTGTGTATCAGCCAGCAACCAGCAGCATCACACCGCGTCCGCACACTTACTTGAGTCGCTCGGCCGGTCTGTATGTGATCGATGAGGTCCGATTGTGCACGCTACGCCACCAGCCATCATCCATCCAGCCATCCAGCCATCCACGTCAGTCAGCTTTCCTTCCTGTCCTTTACTTCTTCCTTCGTATGCGCTCATTTGGCAGACAACCCTTGTCCGTCGTGTCTGTCCTGACCGCTGCTGTCTCTCTTCCAGCCGAGTAGATAGGTACGTGTCCGCGCACACACGAAGGAAGTCCGTCCGTCTACCGGCCAGCCGACACGCACGGACGCAGGCACTAGCTAGAAGAGATGAACAGGCAGACAGACAGACAGACATGAGGAGGGGGGAGGGGGTGGCCGGCCAGACTGTGTGGTGTGGTGTGGTGTGGTGGTGTGTGCATCATCACACTCATCATGGGAAAAAGACGACGACACCAGCAGTCACTGCAAGGTGGATCGATCCACACAGGAGGGAGTGAGTGTGTGTGTGTGTTCGTTATCCACCAGATGCCATGCGCAGACACAGACAGACAGACAGGCAGACAGACATGCGTCGGCGACCGTGTATTCGGCACGTGTAGCGAGCCAGCCAGCAATACTATGGTACATCAGCAGGGCGCTTTTTCATTCGTCCACTCACTCACCCCACACACACTTTCTTCCACACACACCCACGGGGGTACGTGGCACATCGACCAATTATCCAAACACCTTGACAAAATACGTCTGTGCATATGCTGGAAAGGTATGTGTCTGTGTGTGTGTGTACGTCTGCCTGCGTGTGTTGCATGTTGTGCATGGATGGGTGGGTACGCGTGAATCATCTTAACACGGTGTATGGTACAAGAGAACCAACACAGACAGACAGACTGACAAACGGACAGGCGGACACCTTCCCCGCTCCTGCCGACGCAGTCTCTAGCCAGAGAGAGAGAGAGAGAGAACACAAACCAGACAGACACACCATCCATCCATCCGCCCACCCATCCAGGCTTGACAAGAGGAAACAACAAAAGCGGCCGGCCAGGCGTCCGTCCGTTCCCATTTTTGGTATCGCTTCAGGAGCAAGTAGGTGAGGCAGCAATATGACATACACACACACACACACACATACACACAATACAGACTGACAGCAGGCGTATGGAGTGACAGATAGACAGACAGACAGACATAGAGGGCCGCCGAATTGAAAGCCTAGACTAGAGAGAGGGAGGGAGAGACAGAGAGAGAGAGAGAGAGTCAGCAAGCAGACGGGCATGGGAAGAGTGCATCCACAGGGGGGAGGAGGGGCGTTTCCCTCCGGGTCTGCTCGTCCATGGACGCATGCGCGTGTAGACACACAGACACACGGATGTGGCTGGATGGATGGATCGATAAGCGAGTAGCTGAGTGAGTGAATGAGTAACACATCAGGCAGGGAATGGAATGTGGGTTACGGGAGAAAGGGAGAGAGGGAGGAGTAGGGGCGATGCGAAGCGAAACAAACGAAAAAAATCCGTCGTCGTTCCGTCGTGTGGGCACGTCACGTCGTTCCTTCTGGCTCCCTCCATTCATATGTCCCTCACTCCACCCACCCACCCACCCACCCATCTACCCACCCATCTACCCACCCATCCATGCATCCCATCAATGGAGCAGCTGGCTAGCGGAAAAACGATGACAACGACAGACACCAAGGAAGGAAGAGAGAGCAAAAACAACGGCCGACCGACCGACCGACCGACACCATACACACGGCGGGGAAGGGAAACCTGATGCAGGAGCAACGCACGCACAGAAACCCACCCATGCATGTGCTGTGGGGGCGTGCGTTGCGTGGGTGTTGACCTACCGGCAGAGTGCTCCCCCGTCGTTTGTGTCAGTGTCAGTGTCAGTCCTCGAGGTCGAGTTCATCCTCGTCGTTGTCCTGCGACAGGTCACTGACCTCACTCATGGGGTCGTCCTCATCGTTATCATCGCCGCCCCCGCCCCCGCCGCCCATTCCCCCTCCCTCCCCACCCATGGCCGTGTCGCCATTGCTGTCCGTGGCCGCACCAGATGGGGTCCCACTGGGGCCGTTGTGTGCACGCGAGGGGTTGCCGTTGGCGGACGTCGACATGGACGACGCCTTGGATGAGCCCTGCCGGGATGAAGAACTCTGCCACGTGCGCTCGCTGGCGTACTCGCGAACGTACTCTGAGGGGCCAACCAAAGAAAGGGACAGAGAGAGAAGTGGGTGGGTGGGTGTGTGCGATTGATTGATTGATAGTGGAGGTGCGTACCGCACCGTACCTCTGACTTTGTCTTCGTATTTTTTTCTGTCCCTCATGTAGAGGGACGCGGCCTCGCTGTTGAGGGGGTCGGTGGGGTTGGGGTACGTCAACAGCTGCGGCAGAAACACGTCAAAGATGTTCACCAAACCTACAAACAGAGAGATGTGTGTGATGTGCAGACAAAAGCACACACACACGCCATCACAGATGAGAGCCGAACGGTGTAGTTGGTGTTGTGTGTGTAGCTGACTGTATAGTGGTGTCCAGGTCTGGTTGATGACGTCCAGACACACAGACCCTGACCTGCAAGTCAACCACAGGCCAGCACAGGGCACACCAGTGTGCAATGCAACTTTGTGTAGATGTTGGTGTGCGTGCGTACGCCTCGTCAACGTTCGGGTGGAGGATTTTGTTGACGAATCCGATGGATGGCGACGCAAAAGGGTACTGGTCCGGCAGCTCAACGTGAACCTTCCATATCCCACCCTCATACGCAGCTGAAGACACATTCCATTCACACACAAAAGACACATGACGTGAGCCCACATCTGCCTCCCTCTTTCTGTGGTGTGAGGGTCTGCTTACTCTCCTTGGGCCCTCTGAAGGTGACGAAGAAGTCCTGCGTATTGCTGTTGTTCAGGTCGATCTCGTAACCAGCTATCATCCTGACACACAACCACCACACACACACACACAGGCGAAAGACAGGACAGGAACAATTTATCCCTGCGGTCCAGCGGCGTCAAACGAGACACCACTGCGCCTCTGCGAGGCTCCAAGCACACAGCCATCCGACTGTGAGCCACCATGCTGTCTGGCTCTCGCTGCCTCTCTGCTCAGCCACGTGAAGGCGAAACTGACTCTGTGCTGTGTGGCATCCCGGCTGCCTCCCGACAGTGTTTCCCATGTGTGCCGGCTTCACTTACAGCTTGGTGAAGTCACATTGCTTCCGCGTGGATGGCGACTGCGCCATCGACTCCCGCACAACAGACAAGAGGTGGCCCGTCGTCAACAGGCCACCTCACCACCGATGCCGTTGTCCGAGTCCCCCTCCGCTGGGATGGCAGGACCCTCGATGGATGCTATGTGTGCCTCCCTCTCACGCACTGAAACACCGACGCCCTCCCTCGCTGGCCGGGGCGCGATTCAAATCACCGACTCTGGGAAGCAACACAACCGACGAACCACGGGCTGACGTCAAGCTTTATGCTTTTACTCCCGAAGTCGCTGCTAGCTCAGCATCTTCGCGCGCGATCGCGACCGTTAATTGGAGAGAGATCGTTCGTCAATCGTTCCTCGTTCCACCGACGCCGTGCGTGTCACACGCCAAGATCTTCTCTCCCGTCTTGCCGCACAGTGTCACACGCGCACTCGGCGTCAGGAATGAAGGAAATAAAACGGACACACAAAACACAAGCATCTTGCGCATCCAGGCATGGCATGGAAAGACGGTAGCAATGACAGCATCGGCCCTCCACGCACACAAATGGAGACACAGAGAGACACACACGCGGAAACACACAAACCGTGGGCGCCATAGTGGGCCAGCAGGCCGGACTGAGTATCGACAACAAACCTCAACAGTGTCAACGATAGCAGAAGACAAGGCATGTATCAATGACACCGTTCTCGCCTCTCGTGCGAGGCCCTCCTCACGCTCTCAGTGTCGTGTGGAGCGGCGGCCACGGATGTGGGCCGCTTGCTGCTTTGGTGAATGAGGGCGCTCTGTGCCGCCTGGTGTGCGGTGCGGTATATATGAGGGGGGTCGATGGGGAAGGCGTAGCCCGGCAAGGCGGCTCTCCACAGATGCAGCAACATTCTGCAGTTGGAAAGAGTCCAACAGGGAGACACATGTTGCATCAGAGTGTGTGTCGTTTTGTTCGGGTGCCGTGTGTACGGTACGTCAATTTGAGTGTGAGCTCTTTCGCCGTTGTTTCCACGGGGTCGTCCCATCGAGCTTTCGGGAAAGTTTTCGAGCCCTCAGACTGCATAACATCACCGATCAGACACACACACATCTCCACCATCCGTGCTGTGCTCATCAGCTTTCTCCCCTCAGCCACCTGTTTGTACGCAGCAAAGTACTTTCTCCTCTTCCTTGGCTGTGCAGGTCTGTCTGTGGGGCTTGACGGCGCCTCACCCTCTCCCTCTCCCTCTGACGGCACGAAGGTCCCCCTCTTGTCGGTAAGAGGCGCCTTCTTCTCTACGTAGGGCCCCTTCCACTGGCCGTATTGCTTGACCAGCTGGCCGGCATCCGTCAGGTCCGTTATGATGTTCTCTATCGCAGCCCGCAGCCGCAGTTCATCGAATTTGAGCGCCTCTCTCGGTTTATTGTCGGTGTCAGTGCCGCCGCCCTCTGCTGTCTGAGGGGCGGCGGGCTCTGCGCCCTCCGATGCAGAGGTCCTCCTGTGGGCCTTGTAGAGGCTGACGAGCTCCATGTAGAACTCTTCGAGCAGATGCACACAGAGGCATTGTACGTCCACCGTCGCCCAGACAGAAGTTTTCGGGGACAAGTAGCTGACCTTCGAGCGGGTGGCGCCACTGTGTCGTGACCAGCCCGGGATGATAGAAGAACACCTGACCCACCCACACGCACACGAGGGCATCAACGCCGCGTGTCAAGCTCTCTCTTGCTTGCATCAGCCACTCACCAGTTGCTGGCTGTCTCGCCTGGCGTTCCACGGCGCCGGCAGGTCAGAGGCGAATATGGGCCGAAACAGACGATACAGCTGAAGGTCGGCACCACGAGTGTCCTGCACAGCAACCATCAGCATGAGGGATCCGAAAGGTGTGCGGGCACGGCTGATTGACGGCCATACCAAGCCAAGAAACTCCGCATATGCCCTCGCCGTCTGTCGGCAAGAAACAAAGAAGGAGATAGGCAAGGGATACCAATCAGACGATACGATCAGTGATCGCTGGCTTGCATGCGGACCAGCCATTGGGTGGTTGGGAGGCCCTTTTCCACCTCTGCCTTCCTGAAACAGAAAACGTCGATGTCGATGACTGTCGGCCCACTACATGCATGTCTCGCCAGCCCACCAGTCGAACTCTTCAATGTCGTCCAGGTCCCCCCTCTCCTTGTCTCCCTCCTTGGTTCCGTTCGCTTGCGATTCATCAGGAACAGGCGCCTCTCTGGATGGACATGAGAGACGTGTATGTGATGGACCACGGAGACATTGCTGTCTGTCTTCTGTCTGTCTGTCTGTCTGTCTTTGTGCGGTCGTCTTACAGGCTCATCAGCCCATTCTCCTCCTCCTCCTTGTCTTCCTCCCTCTCAGGCGCCCTTGCATCCTCTGCAGCCCCCGACGTATCGCCGCCTTGTTGCTCTGCAGCAGCTGCCCGCTCGTCTCCCTTTGGCACGCCATTGTGCCGCTGGTCATCTGCCGCTGAGCTATCCTGTGCCGCCTCTTCTGCTGCAGCCGTTGTCCCCTCTTGCCTTTCGGACACGCTGTCGTCAGCAACCTGCGGCTGTTGAACTGTTTCCCCTTGTGGCTTGGGCGCGGTGGTATCCTGACTTGTCGGCCCTGTCTCGTCTTCCTTTGGTGTGTCTTCACCATAGAGGTGTAGGATGTTGCGGGGGGCTGGGGGTGGGCGGGAGGGCGTCGGCTGATAGGGGGTGCTCTCTTCACCTTCGGGCTGCACATCGCACGCACCACAAGAGCAACACAACAGACGGGCGAGCTCATGTATCAACGTCATTCTTGTATGCAGGTATCGCATCTTACTTGCTCGTCGCTGGAGAAGCCTGCATCGCTGACGGGCAGCTCCTTGGCCATATCACGTGAGATGCGCTTGAGGTCCTGGAACTTGTCAGATGCTGCCAGTGCTGCCACACAGACAGGAAGCAATTGAGCATCGGTCACACATCCAGGCTGGTTGGCCTGCGTCAGGCAGACAGAAAGGGTGACCTACTTGGGTTGAGCTTCATGCTCTCTCGCAAAGACTGGTTCAGAGCCTGGCGTGCATACACCAAGTGCGTGCATGGATAGACCAACGATGTGCATATCGTCTGTCAGTGCATACCTTGAGTGCATGTAAGTCGCCGTCCTGCTTGCTGGAGAGTAGCTCAGCCTTGGGTTCGGGCCGGTCGGCAAACAGAATGGACGACTTCTTCCTCTTGCCCGCAGCATCTTCATCCCTGGGTGGTGGCGATGGCTCTGCTGCCTCCTGCGACGTCTCATGTGCCGGCAGGGACGGTGGCAGCTCCCCCTCTGTCCCCTCTGGCTCCTCCCTCGTCCACCTGCTCCACCCCGCTTCCTCCTGCTCAGCTGCCTGTGGGCCTTTAGACGGTGTGCCACCCTCTTCCTCGGCCACCTGTTCGTCCCATCCTGTCTCCACGCGAGGCGCGAGCGCTGCCGACTCGGTTGAGCGTTTGAGGTCGGGGTCGGCGGGGTCCGTCGCGGGGTCCGGCGATGACGCGTGTTGCTCTTGGTCGTCTTCGTCATCGTCCATGTCGAGGAGCGCCTGGCGGAGGGCAGTGGCGGGCATCCCGGTGGGTTTGCGCTGCAGCGTCGGTCCTCTTCCGCTGCTCTCCTGCGCGTCACCAGTCGGCCCCTTAAACTTCACCTTGCGCTGAGCAACACAGACAGACAGACAGAGGTGCCGCCGATTGCCACGTACCGACAAGGCTAGGAGTCTGTTTTGTGCTTACATTTGGGTCACCTGGACTCCCACCTCCCTCCTCATCTCTGGCCTCATGCTGTGGCGACGAGTCCTCAGGTTGCTCATCTGGCGCCGGCCCCCCCTCATATTCCCCTTCATCTTCGTCCTCGAGGTCCTGCAGTGCCTGACGTAACTGCGTCGACGGCAAGCCTGCACACACACAACACCTGCTGATTGTGGACGGCTGTGCTCGCTCGTCGGCAAATGGTTGCGTACCAGTAGGCCTTCTGGCCATGATGCGTTTGCCCCGTGATGATTGCAAGTCGCCCTGATTCTCCTCTGCCTCTCGATCCCAATTGACACGACGGTCGTCCGGACGGTCGCCAGCCGACACCGCACCAGGTCGCTCTTTGGGGGCGGGCTTGCGCACAGAAGCTGACGGGGATGTCTCCTCACCGTGCCCGTCGTCGACCTTCACCATTGAGCGTCTTCTGCCCTTGCCCACAAGCTGCATCTTCTTCTCCCCAGCTGGCACAGTCTTGGTGGGCTTGGGCAGTATGGTGGCCTTAGTGACGACATTGACCGGCCTCTCCTCCTGTGCAGCACCACACTCGTCGTCTTCAACATCCATCAGCGCGTCCCTGAGCGTCTTAGCGGGCATTCCCGTGCCTTTCCGCTGCAGGCCCTTCTTCCTTGGAGGCGTCTCTTCTTCCTCTTCCTCCGCGTCATCCGACTCGTGCTCTTGTGGCCCTCCCTCCATGGCCTCGTCATCCTCGTCTTCATCTTCGTCCTCGATCTCATGCAGCGCCGACCGGAGGGCCATCGACGGCATCCCTGTGCCCTTGCGCTGCAGCTTCTTGGACTTGCTGGAGATAGACTCGGTGAGGGTGGCCTCCTCGCCTTCCACATCACCACCTACCTTCTTCTGAAACTGCACCGATTTTGCCTCATCCGCTGCAGCAGCCTCAGCAGGCGGCACGGCCGCATGGCCGTCGGTTTTCGCCGCACCCTTGTCGCCTTCACCAGGAGGTGCCGCAGCAGTAGCAGCGGCCTCTGTCTCCTGCCCACGACCAATCTTGGGCAGGAATGCCTGCGCCTCTGACGACGTGCACGGCCGACCGCCGACGCTCGGGGCTGAGGGGGAGGGGCTCAGGGGAGGAAAGAGAGACGGCAGTGCATCGGGCGACATCGACCTCGGTGGTGACCCGCGAGCAATCTCGGCACCAAAGGAGAAGATCTGATCCAGAGTCATGCCCAGCAGGTCGGTCTGCGTCCCGCTGTCGTCAAAGCGAGCCGAAGCTTCGGGCGGCGTTGGATCCACTGACGTCGCAGGAAGGCTTTTCTTGGCCGATGGAGCTTGAGTGCTGTGCGACCGAGGTGGTGGATGGACTCGTGAGAGCTCCTTCGGCCTCGCATGCATGGGCTGAGACCGCCTCTTATCTGTCTCCTTCATGGGGGCAGTGCATCCAGCTCGCTGCTCCGGCTGAGACACGGTTGTCGGCTCGTTTGTGGATGTCGGCTGGTCGATCGTGGCGGGCGGCTGTTCGGGTGGCTGCTGTGCCTTGGTGACGGTAGATGACGTGGTGCCGGGCTTGGGTTTCTTGACATAGTAGTGGTGATGCACGTGTATGGCGCCCGTGCGCCAATCTTCATACACTCGCACCCCAGCTGGAATGATGTCTCTGGCATATAAAGAAGGAGACATAAATGCGGACAGGAGACAAATGGAAGAGAGCTCAGCGAGCTCGACTTACCTACCCGTTGATTGGCGGCAGAGCAGTTGCAGCCTTCCTCTTGTCGGCCCCGTCCAGACCCCTCCCCCGATCCCTCCCCTTCGCCTTGCTCTTCGACGACACTGAGCGTCCACCACCTCTCCCCCTCCCCGCAGCCCGCCTCGCTGCTTGCGATGTGGTCTTGCTCGACACGCCCTCAACCCTCGGGCCCAGCCCACCATTCACCATCGATGATGCTGCAGTCGCCTGAAAGACCGACGGCAGCGGCAGGCCCTGGTTGCCCAAGTGCCCCAATGTAGGGGCGGCGCTGTGCCACTTGAGCTGGCCGCCCGGCCCCCCTTCAGCCACAGGAACCAGGGCGGGGTAGGGGTAGACGGCCGACTGGTCGCCGCCATAGGGATGCGGCAGCACAGGGACGGTCCACCGGAGGTCGGGCTGCAACCGTTTGCCCTGGCTGTCGAGGGCGTCCTCACACACCGGCGGGACACGGTAGGGGCTCAGCGGCATCGGAGGAGGCTTCTTTCCCTTTCCTTTTTTGCCCTTTGGTGGCCGCAGCGATGCCCCCTTGGTGCTCTGTGGGAGTGAGCTGAATGCGAGAGGAAAGGGCTGGGCGACGAAGAGTGCCGTGGGGTAGGGGCTGGCCAAACGAGAGGGCGGACTGGACGAGTAGCCAATGGGGATGCGCGCGTCATTGTCAGGGCTGGTGTGCGGCACGTGCCCCCGTGGCTCACCTGCACACATGTAAGGGAAATGGGGCGACATGCCGGTGAGAGGTCACATTTGTAATCTGTTTGTTGTGCTCTGACCGAATGTGCATGCGTTGTGGTCATAGTCAGTGCTGTGTCCGAGGGGCGAGAGCGATGAGGGGCTCGCCGTTGGCCTCGGGGCGGGCTCGCGCTTCTCAGTCACCTGAATGTACATGCAGAAGCGGAGGTCATTGTTCATATGTGATTTGCCTACCTTTCCGGTGCTGTCTTGATTGATGGTGAGTTTGTACGTGTCCTCCAGGCCCTCAGACAGCACCAACACCTCGCTCGTGCGAGCACCGCCATTTGCTGACTTCACGGCCTACAAACAGCACACACAAATACATACTCGAAAGTGTGAGGAAGCAGATGAATAGGTGACAGACAATGAACGGCTTCCCTCTGCGCGGCCTACATGGGTGGCGGCAGGTGATGGCTGAGCGCTGCTTTCCACCGTGCCCTCATGGACGCTCCGTGAGGGCGGCTCGGTCATCAAGCTTTCTGTCTGAGCAGAGGGGCTCGCCATCGTCAAATCGTCAGATGCTTATTTGGCCTGCTCGATAAGGCAGCAGAGTGTCGGCGTTTGGAAACGACATTCGAGCTCGCAGGCCCCCAAGCCCCCAGCAAAGGATTCCGTCTTTTGATTTGATGCAACAGTTTGCTCGTGAGTACCCCCTGGGGACCGGCCTTCCTTCCTCGCCAGGCCCTGCTGACCCGTCTCAACTCCCTGTCGCTTTTGCGGACCGCGGTGATTTTGCGCATGATGCGGCTGAGGGTGCTGGCGGCATTGAGGAGGAGGTTGACGTGGACGTGGCACTTGCGTATGCGCTGGACGACCACATGCACGACTGGGATGTGGATCATGCAGACATGCAGATGGGGGACTCCGAGGGAGACGGCATGGCCTTGGTGGCTGTCCCTGGCGATGAGGCCGATGATGGGATGGGTCTGCCGCCTCTCCTGAGCTGTGCCGATGCGGAGGAAATCATCGCAGAAACGGAAAAACAGCAACCAGGTGAGTGCGCATTTAATTTAGCGGATTCGTTTGGACCAACGGACACACGTTCCTCTGCCTGCTTCTCTGCAGGTCATTGCAGCCCCCCATCCGCTTCCCCCTCGGCACCTGTTTCAGCCCTCCCTCCGCCCTACACACAGGCCGACAGCCGATTATCACAAACATCTGCTGGGGAGCCTTCTGCGAGCCAAGCGGCGCCGTTCGGCTATCTGCAGCCGACAACGCACAGCGCACAACAGCAGCAGCATCAGCAGCAGCAGCAGCAGCAGCCAAGCCAGGAGCCAGCAGAGGATCATAGTTTACCAATGGAAGAGCCGACATCAGAAGGGGGGCCTTCGGTGCAGGAGGAAAGACGGGCTGCAGAGACGGTGGCACCAGCACCCACCACTCAAGGCATACCGAGATCTCCACCACCCGTTGTGGTCCACACCCCTCCGTCGAAAACTCTTCCTTCCACTCGCACAGAGGACGCGCCGTCACTGTTGCCGTCGGTGGCCGTGAGCGCCACACATTCCTACTCGGCATCAGTGTCGCTGGCAGGGGGGACACACACTGGGGGCGTGCAGAAGGTGCTGGCCTACGCCGCACGGATGGGGGGTGCTGCTGGGAAGAAGAGAGAGGCGGAGCGGCCGGTGAGGCGGCCCGTGTCTCGATTTGTGGAGGAGACATCGTTCTTTGAGAGACAAGAAATGTGGAGCGTGAGCATCGATACTACATGGGGGTGACGATGACTGTCTATTTCTCCTTTCCTTCAGGTTCGCAAGCAACAAAAGCAGCTGGATCGCGTCAAGAGAAAGTGCGGTGCATTCAAAGGACGGAGGGATGGAGGGAAACCGGACCGGAGTTCATGGTGTGTGTTATGCTGGCTGTCTGTCTGCAGGGACGAGAAAGAGCTTGAGGCGTGTTCGTTTCAGCCATTTAGAGTGCCATTGCAGTTCAGTAACCAGGGCGGCACGCAGCGGCCCCCCGCCCGGCCTGCCACCTTCAAGGTGAACGTCAGCCAACTGCTCCAGCGGCTCGCCGAGGTCAGGGGAGGGAGACACATGTGTGTATCAATCACATCCACTGATGTGGCGTGTCTTCGCAGCCGAAGCGACAGTACATTCAGGTTGTGGATCGCTGCCAGATCGCACAATCACACCTCACCAAACGAAGGGAAAACGTGAGCACACTCTCATTCCTCACCGACACGAACACATCCATTGGCCGTCCTTGCCGTGAGTGTATGTTATGTTATGCCTACAGACGGAGGTGGACCGCTACTGCACCTTCCACCCAAACATCCTGCCATCCCAAAGGAAAGTCCCCGCCCTGCACTCCAACCTGCAAAAACGAGATGAACAAGAAGACACAGCGCAGCCTCTCCTGCAGCGCCCCATCACCCTCTCCCTCCCCCCATCCCCCGAACCCTCGCCGCCAACCTCGCCCTCACCGCCCCGTGCCAACGTTGAGGTGGTGGATGGTGGCAAGAAGGGCGCCAGGGTGCTGTTTGGGTGGCGGAAGGACGCTGCTGCGCGGTCCGCTGCCCTGAGTGAGAGCTACCGGGAGAGGAGGAGACATCAGGCAATGAGCGACGCCGTCAAAGAATGCACCTTCACACCGAAGGTCAGTGGATGGGGATGACGTACGTGTGGCGAGTGAGTGCATGTGAGTGAGTGCATGTGTGTGTGCATGATGCGATCCATGCGTTTGTGTGTCAGGTGAAGGAGCCTCCCGCCGAGATGGTGATGGCGCGGTCGTATCTGAGGCTTCACCCCGTCACCCGACTCACTGAGTTCACACCCAGCAGATCCAAACGACCAGGTGCGCACAAGGGTCACCCAACACGCGACCTAAGGATTCTCCAATCGACATGCTTCTCGCATCCCATGTCGATGTGCACAGATTCTGCCCCTCCCCGAGGGAAGGGGGGAGGGCCGCCTGAGGGGCAGGGTGACGGCGGGGATGGCGACATGATGCCTGGGGAGGCCTCCCGGTCGACGGCCACTTATAGCGAGGACGAGGCGCAGAAGATATTCTTCGGGTTTCTCTATCGGCAGAACGTACACGAGCACCTCCGCATGAAGCGGCTGCAGCACCTCGCTAAGCAAGGACAGCGTAAGTTAGCGCACACCCACACCCACACCTCGATCCGCGGATGTGTGCCTTTTCCTTATTCTTTCAGCTTCCCACAAGCCCACCATCAGCCAGGTGTCCCAGCGTGTGGCCAGCCGCCGCAGCCACCAGTGGCGGCAATGGGCGGCACAGACAGGACTGACCAAGAAGCAGCCAGAGCTGAAACCACCACCACCAGACACCATTGCCTTGGCCCCCTTCTGGGGCAGCGACAAGGGGCGCGATGTGAGCCCTCCGCCGCCGCGCCTGGGTCACATGGATCGTCTGCAGCTGGAGGCTGTGAGGGTGCAGTGGAAGAAGCGACGGGAGGAGGCACGGCTGCGTGAGGCGGATGCTGACTGGTTTGCGCCAACCATCAACAGGTAGGTAGGACAGAGCTCCCCTTAAGACATTGGTATGCTCTGCCCGTGTATGTGTATGTGTATATGTGCGTGTGTGTATTTGTGTGTCTTTTGTGTGTGCGATGCGATGCGATGCGATGCAGGATGAGTCAAGCGAGGGGTGAGCGTGGTGTGGTGTCCATGAGCTACGGCGACAGGCTGAGACGGGAACAGAAACTCGTAAGCCATGTGCCGTGTGCTTACGCGTCGACGTGTGATAAGGCAATCAATATACTATGTCCTCCACAATTGCTGCTCAATCCAGATGGAGAGGAGGGCTGCACAGGAGCGTCTTGTGGATCAGCAGCTCTCATTCGTGGTGATGCACACGGATGGACGATTGACCTTTACTGAGTAGAGCTCTTTCTACTAATGGCTTGACTGTCTCTCTGCTCAGCCCGAGCTCAACGCCTCCCGCCACAAGGCACACTCATCGCTCACGTGAGGGAAGGAAAAACCAGTCAAGGACACCCCCACTCACTCCCGTGATGTGCGCCATGGATGCAGCGATTTGCGCCGTGTTAAGACGGCCTCGCGCTACATGGAGCGTCTGCAGAAGGAGCAGTGCATCCGCAACAAGGCCGCGGAGACATTCAGGAGACAGAGGGACGAACAGGAGGTGACAAAAAACAAAGACACCCTGCCTACCTGCCTGCATTCGCGTCGCGTCGCGTGTGTGTGTGTGTGCATGTCTGTCTCTCTTTTATGTCGATCTGCCGTGTTTGCCCGTCGTGCTGTGCTGTGCAGGTCCGTGAGTGCAGCTTCCATCCGAAGGTCCGCCGGCTGCCTGAATACATCCGCAGGATGGCTAGGGGATATAGAGTAGGCCAGGCACACAGGCAACACCAAGTACTGTAACGACACGACACACGTACTGATTGCTCCATGCACGTCTCTCACTTTATGCAGCTGGCTCGCGATTCGTCCGCTCAGCCCCCTCTCCCATCCCGCAACTGCGGCCACTCTCCGTTCACGTCTCCCTTTGCACGGGCGGCAGGCTATTCAGCCTCAGCGAGAGGTGTCTCGCCATCAACCCCCTGTAAGGCCGCCCCGTCTCCCTCGTCGTCGCCCCAAAGACGACGAGACGATGTCGGAGTGAGTAATCGGCCGCCTCCCACCGCCGCCCCACCAGCTGCTGGTGGTGGTGGTGGTGGGGGGGGTGATCATGAGGATGTGGATATCCTGGTTGACATACTTGTCAACGGACACCAGGAGGGGCGGGATGCAGCCATTGACTTGGATGCCCTGACGCGGCCCGGGAGGTGACTTTGCAAGGAAAGGGTGGCTTGCTGGCAGTGAGTGAGCTGAGTGTTTGTTCGGTCCTTGCTTGCAAAATGCTTGAATTTGTCGATGCGAGCGAGCTGTGGCGTTTCCGAGGATGGATGCATGGATGGATGCATGGATGGGTGTGTCGCCTGCCCATCCCACTGTGTGTGGTCCGCGATGAGTGTGATCGGTTCGGTGCGTGCCGACCGGTTTCTGTGTGTCTGTCTGTCTTTCCAATTCATTCATCTGGAGGATGTCAAGTCAAGTCTGTCTCATCCATCCATCTGACTGCAGGTGTAGGTCTTAAATACACGTCTGTCTCAGCGCTGCATTCTCAGACCACATTGACCCTCACACCGCCCCTATCATCACTCCTAGAGGAGGGGGAAGGACTGGGTCCCCCTCCTCGCCTCTACCCATGCAATCGTGCCGAAAATCCGCACTCGCTCACTCAGACAGACAGACAGACAGGCAGACCATATGCCTGCCTGTACATCAAGCGAGCAGCTTGTCTAGTGACAGCACCGCCTCGCCCGGCGCATCTTTCTTCTGCCTCTGCGACCCTTTCCTCTTCTCCCCGCCCCCATCTCCATCCTTGTCCGATCCCACAGCCTCCAGGCCAATGCCCCTCCACACATCTATCACAGGAGGGCCTTGGGCACCACCACCGCCGTCAGCAGCATCCTCCCTCTTGATGCTCCCTCGTTCCCTGTTCCAGCACCCGCCAGGCGTGCCGGTCTTCCCCCGTGTCCTCTCGACGATCTCCCGCAGACTGGCTTGGTTGAACCATCCGAGGGAGTTGAGGTACTCCCGCGCCTTCCACATCTCGGGGGTCAGGTCGTGCCGCGAGTCGACGCCGTGCGGCAGGCGGCGGCCATCAATGATGGCGAAGGCTTCCTCGACAGTTTGGCGGCACCACTCCTTGCTCCGGTGGCACAGCACGCCAACCTCGCGCAACAGACGGGGCAGCCCCTGGTCGAAACCCCACCTACAAGCCGACACACACGACACGAGAAAGGCATGGATGTGGAAGGTGCTGTCTGTGTGTGTATGCGTGCCTTGTCCTGACTTACCGGAGGACCATGACTTTGGCCAGTTCGTCACCGAGTAGGAGCTTGCAACAGTGTGTGATGTTGGCCCGGGTCTCCGTGGCCACTCTTTCCTCATCCGCCTCCCTCCGACGCTCGATGGCCTCACCAAGGAGGCGCGACGACCGGTCGCCCCATCCCCCGCCCCCCTCCCGCCACCAGTCGCTACTATCAACCATAGTGTCCTCAGAAAGTGGGTCGCTGCGGGATCTCACTGGGGTGTTCCCGGCCTGCAGCGAGGCTATCTTCTGGTCCAGGCGGGTGAGGTACGAGTCGTCACGGTCGTGGTACTGCTGCACCAGGGTGGACGACGCCAGCGCCGCATCATTCAGCTTGGCGAGGCGTGAGATGACCGTGAGGGACAGGTCGGTCGCCTCACTCAGCTCATGGGGAGTCGGCTCGCGGCCCAGGCTCGCAGACAGGCGCTTGCGGGCACGATTCAGCTGCACACACACACGTAAGAGAGAGGCAACGACCGAAATCACCAAGTGTCTGTGTTGATGTCGGCAATGAATTGTGCGGGCGGGAGTGCGGGGTGGCGGTGACTGCGGTCACCTTGAGGAGGCTATTCCAGCCCTGGGCGCTGAGTGTGACTTTGCAGAATAGCTCCTGTCCGCCCCTGAGCATGGCCTTCTTCATGTCGTAGAAGGCGTAGGTCATGTAGGTGGTGTTGCGGTCAGGGTCAAACCGACGCGCTGCCTCACGCAAAGTATCCAACCCAAAATGGGCCAGGTCCCACAAAACCGTGTCTGCATCAAATCAAGCAATGCGCCCACGACACGGCACACAAACACCAGCCAAACACATGAGGGTCGATGGGATGGGTGCATGGCATGGCGAGCGTGGCGTGTGTCGCTTGTCTATCTGTTGAGTTGATGGATGTGCTCACTGCACTGACTGACCGTCGCGAGAAGTCACAAGGACCCTCGAGGCCTCGTTGAGAAGCAGACCCATGTTGTTCAAAGGAAGACCAACCTGACGCCAACAGACACAGACAAACATGTGTCCCGCCTCCCTCCCGTGTTCCTCAACCCTCCACCCTCGACCCTCTCACCTCTGCCTCGTTGAATCTGCCCTTCATGCGTTCGAATTCCTCCCTCTCGATGCCCTCCGCCGCCAGCACCTCGTCCAACGTGGGCGGCCGCAGCAGCTCGCTTTCCATGGCCACCAGCCGCCGTTCGAATCGCAGCATGGGCTGCAGCTCATCCACGTAATCCCTGTTGGACTGCTGGTAGTACTCGTTGCTGCGCCTGAAGAACCGACGCGGAGACTCCTCGGGCAGCGGCAGGCTGCCCGTGTCGAGCACCCACTCCCCCTCGTCGACCTCATCAACGTCTGTCCCCACGTCGTCTTCCTCGCCCATCAGCCCCTCGTCATGCGCCTCTTTCCTTCGTCTGGAGGGCCGGCGTTTGGCCGCACCAGCTCGAGGCCGGGTCTTCCGCGGTCTGCCTGTCTTGCGTTGCACCACCGGCGGGCCCTCATCAGCCGTCTGGTTCGTCAGGGGCTGCAGAGCGCTCACAGCGGCCGCATCGACCGACCCGTCACGGGACGTGGCGAAGCTCTGCAACGCGAGAGAGAGCTCGGAACCACTCGGCGTCGCTGGCTGCGGCTCGGTGGCATTCAGCACCAATGAAACATCAGGGACGCTGTGGCTCTGTGGCCCATGGCTGTCTAAGGGATGGTCCTCATCGTTGGCAAGAGGGCTGGGGGCTGCAGGGGGAAAGAGGAGGGCGGGCAGGGGGGCGGTTGAAAAGCTCATGAGGGCAAGGGGCAGTTTCTCTGTCATGGGCCGGAATGGCTTCCTCGACGACGAGCGGAAGCGATAGATGCGAACGGGGATGCCCGCTGCCGCCTTCCTCGCCCTCTTGGCACTGAGCTGCCGCCGCCGCCTCTTAATGGTGTCCTGAAGGGTCTCGGGGGCTAATGGTGGGGAGCTCCCTGACAGATCCACTGGCCGCCGGATGCTGGGCACGCCATTCATAAGCTCGATGATCGGGCCCTGCACCATCGACAAGCCGTCGCTGCCCGTCTTGTCCTCAGCCACGCTGGTCGCGAAGAACTCGTCAATAACTGTCACGACGTCCTGGGCCTTGAGGACGTCACGGGGCAGGAGAGCCGCAACATGGCCATCATCACCGCCATCTCCATCCAGATCTGGAGGCAGCCGTCTTACAGGTCTCGGTGGCGCAAGCAACGACGACGAGCTGAGAGCCACAGACGATGGCGGCTTGCACGGCTGCGCGGCAGGAGGCCTCCGTGCGCTCCCCCTCGGCTGCAGGTCCTTGAGCCTGAGTCGCCCGCCGCCCCTGGGACCGTTGATGAGGCATATGAGTGCTGATCCGGTGCTGCGGAAAAACGCCACAAGGGTGAGCAGAAAGATCAGCAGAGTCGACGCAACAAGACGGCATGGACCGACCGGGGGAAGGGAGGGCGGGGGAGGCTGGTCAAGGGCGTCCATTGACAGGAACAACGCAGGGATCTCATGAGAGGGCGTGCCGGCTATGACGAGGCAACATCGGTCGACAGACAGGCAGGCGGAAACGGAAGAAGATCTGATAATGGATGGGTATGTAGGGGTTGCTCGCCTGTGTTGGACGAAAGGTGTGTCGGCGATGCCACGAAGCTCAAGTTTGTTTGCCTTCACGGCGTGTGTCCGCCCTAACTCAAAACCACCTGCCCGGGCTCACTTCCACCCTATTTGTTGTGTTTATAACGACAAGCTTTCACGCAGCCGCGGAAGCAGTCTCGCCACACGCGACACATCCCTGCTGGCACCAGATGTCAGATACACGCCAGCCACAATGTCACGAAAATGCCCTGACAGATGTACGAAAGTCGACACATTCAGATCGTCCAGAGCATCGCCCTGGCCCCTCCTCTCCGACCGCACCAGACGCGCCAGCACATGACGGGCCGCGGGAACACCCACACGACGTACAAAGAACTTGAGGCTATCAACAGACGTGGGCGCCAGCAGGCCGACATAGAGGAAAGGCGACTTGATGTTTGACAGCAGAGAAGGGTTGTCGTCGCGCCACGCTTGGAGGAAGCTGTGGGCGAGAGATGCATCAAGGACAGGCTGTGAGACGATGAAAGACGCGCCGGCCTCAAGCTTGTCCGTCATCCTTCGCGCCTCTGACGCCGCCATCAGTGGGTCAAGCGAACACATGTTGACAGCACCTCCACACCTGACCCCGGCACGCTGCATACAGGGAGAACAGAAACCACATCCTATCCTGGCAGCAGCATGTGTGTGTGCATGTGCCCTGACGTTTGCGCACCGTGAAGCACTCGATGGCGTCTTTCGCCAGACACGGCGACTCGACAGCAGGACAGCCTGGGCGAGGCGGGTCACCATAAACCACAAGGACGCCATGCAGCTGCCGATAGGCGTCCTGGTGGTCCTGTAGGTGCTGCCGGAGGCCACTCACATCGAAGTCTCGCGCACGGTGGTGCAGCAAGACTGACCCACAACTGGGAGGCAGGGTCTCCGCCAGCGCGACAGCAAAGGGAAGACTCGGAACCCTGCACACACGCGACGCCACATCATCCACAGACAGTCCACTCGTGCAGCACGACAGAAATGGATGAGTGCAACGAGTGCAGCCCCACCTTCTCGGTCCACGAGCAAGCGTCGGCACCGCTACAGCAACGTGGTTGTCACAGAGGCTCCGCTGGATCACAGCCGCCTCATCGTAGCCGACAGAGCGCGGACGAGAGATCAAGTCTGATCCATGTTTCAGGTGGACAGATGAGAGAAGCGGCGGAAGCCACTCGACAATCAAAGGCATTGACGTCGCCGCAGAGAAGCAAGCAGGCTTCATTTGCTTTGCCGGGAGTGACGGCCAAGTCCCATGACTTTCACGCACAATCAAACGAACGACACGCAACTGGAATCATGCACGCTCGGCCGGTCGGTTATGGGTTTGAATCACCCATGCACGCTCGGCCGGTCGGTTATGGGTTTGACGAGCGACCTGTTCCTAAAGGCCTGAGGCTTGCGAGCTTTTCCCACTTTGAAAGCGGGGGTGCGCGGATCTTTGTCAGGGACCTCGACTCATCTGCTTGTATCTCTCATGTCTGAAGGATTGAAGATCTTTTGAGGAACCGATGTGGAGCCTCGCGCTCCGGTGTTTTAGAGGCGTACGGACGTCGCTGAGGGAGAGGCTCATTGCTCGTGAGCTGCTCTTTCGAAACGAACAACTGGGTAAGACAACAGACGACTCAAGGTGAATCAATCAATTGTGCTGGGAGGCGGCGCATGTCCGTTTGCTTGTGTCTGCGCATCAGAGGCCGAGTACCGCGCACAGCAGTACGATGGGACGGAGACGGTGTTTTACCCTGTGTCGTGTTTCTGCGCCTTCTACGCCTTAGGGGTACGAAGCCCAGAACCATCTCATGTGTTTGTATGCGTCTTGAATCAATCGCCGCAATCGTCGAATCACTGATTCATCATGCGTTCGTTGCCTGCACAGGCGATCCTCAAAGGATGGAGTGTCGACTGGTCGGCCTTTCCGTCCTACTCGCTCGACAAACAGCTGATTATCGTCACGCTCTCCTTCGCGCGAACCATCCCCGTCATCGCAAGCACTGTCAGCCTCTTGTACTATCGGCTGTTTCGCCCGTCGGAGAGCCGCCGCTTGTACGCCGCACACGTGACCTTCTTCACCTACATTGTGTTCTTTCTCATCTCAATCGGTGAGCAGCGACAGAGAAGCCGGGCCGGGCTGGGCTGGACGCAACGCAACGCAACGCAACGCAACGCAACGCAACACACCGCACCCCACCGCACGGCTTTGCTTGGATGTCGTAATTCGTTTCGACAGGCATCAATGACTACGTTCGGGAGAAGTACGTCAACATCCATCCGAGCAAAGCGCCCGTAGGTCCCGGCTGGCCGGTGATGGTCAATCTGGTCTGGCTCAACGCTTGCCCCTGGCTGTAAGCATGTAGTATACGCACAAAGACAGATAGACAGACAGACAGACAGACCTTGCAAGACAATGCCGACAAGAGAAGAAAGGGCTGTGTGTCTTCCTTCCCTCAGTCGGTCGATAGAGAGGGCCACCATGATACTGTTCTCGTGGAGCCTGAGCTTTGCTTGCGTCATGCTGGGCCACGGCGGACAAGGGGACAGGGAGGACCAGATGAGACTCCTTCTCGGCATTCTGCTGCCTATCGCCCTTTCACTCATTACCTCGTTCAACACGGTCAGCCCAGCCAGCCGTATACGTCACACGCGTACACACGAACACACGTGTGTGTGTGTGTGTGTGTGTGCGCGCGCGTGTGTGTGATCGGTACATGGTGTGTCGCGCAGGAGCGGATGCAGCGTCGCAACTTCAAGACCCACAGCCGGACCAAGAGCCAGCTGACGTTTCTGGTCAACTGCGGCCACGACATTGTGCTGCTGGCCGGCCTCGACGCCACGTGCATCGACGCCTCCCCGCATGCGGACAGGCTGCTGGGCGAATCCTCACTCTATGGCCGCCACCTGTCGGAGCTCATCGGCATCACCACGGCCACACTGAGCGATCTCTTCGACGCGGCGCTGAGGGACGAGCCACAGAATGGCAAGTCCAAGTCCACTGCGCCCATTCTCAAGGTGAAGCGATTCGGACAGAAGGAGTCGACGGGGTGCGGTGAGTCCAAAGGCAAGGAAGGCGAGGAATTCTGCCACTGCGAGGTGAGTGATGTATACGATGGGTGGGCGCTTGCAGTGGGGTGTTGCCTGAGTGATTCTTGTGGTCTGTGTTTGTGTTTGTGTGTTGTACGGCTTCAGGTGTATGTGAAGGTCTACAGCAGGGAGCCCCTGCTCTTTCTTGTGTGCCTCAAGGACGTGTCTGAGCGATTTCGAGAGCAAGTCAAGCTCTCCTCCCTCGTTGAAGCCGTTGGCCAACAGGTAACTACCACCCCACACACGCCGCCCCTCTCCCCCATACACGTACGTGCGTACGTATGTGATCGATGCCTGCAGATGGGTGCCATGGCTTGGGGCTGCGACCTCTACCAGGACGCCACCGACCCCCACAAGCCAGCAGCCAAGAAGCGGACGGGTGAGATCTTTCTAGACAGAGTGTGGCAGACGCTCACGGGCAGGACGGGCAACGGCAAGAGGTCGCCAAGGGAGCACCACCATCACTTTGGGGACGGCGGGGGTGCCAGCTCGTCGCCGGCCGACGGTGAGGAACCGGACGCTGACTTCATCTGGTGGACTGAATACTTCCTCGAGCCAGGAAGGACACAACTCAGAAACGCCTTCGCGGTGAGTGAGTCGGCTGCTTCGCGATCGACTGATGGTTTCTGCGCGTGTGTTGGCTTCCATGGTCTGCCGTGCAGGCGTTGTTCGGTTGTCGGCGGACGCCCTTCATGCTTGAGCTCGAATATGAGAGGCAGGACGGCTCGATCAGGTAATTGAACCTTCCCACAGACCAGGTGCGTACACATATCGTGTGTGTCTGTGTTCCTGTAGATGGTTCAAGGTGGGAGGTCAGGAGGCGCAGAACATACCGGGCTTCCTATGGGGGATGATACAAGACACTACACAGTGAGCACGATCAGCAACGACACACACCCACCCACACACACACACAAACAGACTGCATGGGTTTGTGTGTCAGCGATCGAGTACGAGAGAGGAGGAAGGATCAAGAGGCCAACTGGATGAGGGCACTGGTCGACCTTCACTTCGACGGATGGGTGAGAAAACATGTGGCAACATGGCCTGCATAACTGAGTTATTATCGTCTTGCGATGTGCTCAGGGGGTGCTTGAGCTGCAAGACACGTCGTCGATCGTCCATAGCTCAAGCACCCTGAACCTGTTCATGGGCGGTACCCTTATGGGCGTGCCATCCGCCGTCATCTTACCACGTGCAGCATGCAGGCGGCTCTCTGCTGCCGGCTCCCTGAAGGACCATCTGCAGCAGGTGCGTACGTGTAAGCGTGTGTGCGATGGGAACACTTCCCATCGCAGGCTGGTCCAGTCAAGTGATGGCTTCGATTTTTCTCTTGTTTGAAGGTTAAGGTGCCGTCTAGAGGGTGGGTTACGGTGCACCTGACGGCCCTCACCGATGCCACCGATCCTGGCCTGGCAATAGTAGCCATCCGCGAGACGACGTCCACATCCAGCCAGCCGACCGACAAGAAGCCCGACGACCCTCCACCCGCCCCCTTGCCATCTCCTTCCCCTTTCCAACCTACCCACTCCGCCAGGGGCAGGACATCGCGGCCGCCATCCTTCTCGAGCGAGTCGAAGGGCGCCAGGGCCTTATCGGACTCTTCCCCGGGCCCGCCTCCCCCTCCCTCTCGGCCCCCGGTGGTGCCGCACGTCAGCGATGGGGCGTCGCCCATCCACCACCATCATGACAACAAGGGCAAGAAACGAGCAGTGACATTGAGCAGCCACCGATTGGCCCTTCTGCCCGAGAGGCGGTCAGCGGCGACAGGCTCGGACCACAGCTCGGGGACGGCCGGGAGCGGCAGCAGCAGTGTGAGGTCGCTACCATTGCCGCAGCAGCGGAAGAGGCGGTCGCAGCCGACCATGTCATTCCCCGGCAGCCCCGTCGTGCTGGCGACCATCTCTGAGGTATGTCCGGATGACGGGCACAACTTCGAGTGTTACATTAGTGAATGTGGCGGGGGCAGCAGACCGGCAGCCAAGGTGCGTACGCCGTCTGTTGCCTCGGCCCCCTTGTATGGTGGGGCGTGATCCGTGCGTAACGTAGTGATGGTTGGGGGATGGTTTTGTACTTCCTACTATCTGAAAAAGGAGAGCCCAGCCACACCACCCAGCTCGCCAGCCGTGTCTCGGCCTGCTTCTGCTCTGTGCACAGATAAGATGGACGGAGCAAGCACGCGGAACGTGGCTCAAAGAATGAGTTGCTGGGTGAGAGTGGGTCGGCTTCGTCCACACATACATGTGCGTGTGGCGTGCGCTTGTGCCGCAGAGACCTCATTTATGAAATGCGTGACGTGATGGACATGACAGCCAGTGTGCTAAGGTTAACGGTAAGTTCATGTGTGTGACGTGTTGGTGTTGTCGTGTTTTGCCCCCCCTTGCATGAGGGTCTTGTCGTTCGTGACAGCGAGGGTAGAGAAGGGGACTGACAGGTTTGTGGTGTGTGTGAGTGCACTTCTCTGCCTGCTCAAGTTCGTACGCACTCGTGCGGGCTGGCCTGAGCGTTTTGTGAGCATCAGAAGCGAGACACGTCATGGGGTCTTTATCAGGCGTACTCGTGTGCAGCGCGCTCTGTCCCATGGCGAGCTGAGCAGAGCAGAGCAGAGCGGAGCAGGATAGGATGGGTTTGGTTTTGTTTGTATGACCCAAGTTGAACACGAAAGAGCCATCGGTTTATCTCAATACCATCCGTCTTTCAAGTCATGCAATGCAGTCCATGGCATGCACACGAAAGGCTCACTCATGGCCCTTGTCCGTTCTGTCGCCCCCTCTACTTGGCCACGAATACCAGATGCAGATCGGCGTGGCTGAACTCAGGCTCACCGAATTCGCCTTCAATCGTGTGACAGCTGGCGGATGCATGTGTGAGATGCTGTGTCTCCATGACTTGCTGGAAGCACTGGAAGCCGAGCGCCTCGGTCCAAGTGGTCCCGTACTCGACTATGGCCTCGTCTAGCTCATCTCCCCCTATCCCCCCATAGTCGTGGCTGGCCAATGCGTCATCGTGTATGCCGAGTCTAAGCTCGGCCTCGTGCGGACGCAGCTGGCGCACAAAACCCACGATCGACAACGCATCTGCGCCCTCGACTACCCGCCAGACATCATCGTGCATAACGGCATCTGACACCTCCACACTGAGGTATTTCACGGCCGGCAGCTTCTGGCTGATGTGCTCAGGCAGTGCACTCATGCGTGGGCCCACATGGAGCACAACCCTATCTAGTTTATCGACACTCGTGCACGACACGCACTCATACACGATAGGAAGGCTAGCAGAGGAGAGCTCGACAAAGGTGAGATGACGCAGGCTGCCCAGCAGTCGAGTGAGGGTTCGGGGTCGGGCGGGCAAATGTGCCCGCCCGTCAACACTCAGGCCTAGCTCGCCCCAGAAGGTGTCGATGGCGGGGAGCCGCACGTTATTGCCGTCCTGGCCGACCTCGAGCAGCCAGGTGGGAATGCTCTTGACGGTCCGCTGGATCGGCGGATTGCCGTCGCCCTCCTCGATGCGCAGCTCATCGGCCTTGGGGAAACTCAGCAGGTGTCGCCATGTGTGGTGCAGAGGACTGCCGCCGCACTTGATCTCCACCTGAAGGCATACACAGCACCCACAGACCATCCCGTGGGTCGAGGTTTTGCTATGAGTGTATTTCAGCTTATTACCCGCTGTGCCTGGCTCGCCATCTTGTTGATCACGTCAGCGACCGGCCCACACACAGCCGGCGGGGCACTCGGCACACGCTTGCTGCAGTCCAGTGTCACCATCCCGAAGCCGTCCAGCTGCCACTCGACGGTCACACCCAGCCGCCGTGCCCAGTCGAGGAAGGCGTGAATGGGCCGGGTCTCGTCGCCGAAGCTGTGGCTGATGGTGGGGCTCTCGTAGGTGATCTCGATGGTCTTCTTGACGCCTGGTCAAATGAGGAGAAGCACATCATCGAGGGTACGTGTTGGTGAATGTTGGCGTGTCTGTGTATCTCACCCTGCCTGTCTTGTCTACTCCAGATGGTGTTGAGGGCCGCACTCAAATCAGCCAGAGCACCGAGGCTATGTCCATCGATTCGCCAACCCCCACCTGACGGCACGCCACACCTCGTAAGTCCGCCCTGGGCAGATGTGTGTTTGCTGTGGACATGAGTGCCCACCTGTTTGGGTCTATCTAAGAGGGCGTCGATATGCGCCAGGCCGCTCGCCATGGCCGACAACTCACACTGCACACAAACACTCAGCCATACAAACCGCGTGGATGTCAGGGGCTTCCACATCCATCCACGAGCGTTCCTCACCTGGACATCCGGTCGGCAGTGCAGCAGCCGCTTCGCCCGCGACTCACCATCAGCCGAGAACTGCACCAACCAATAACCAATGCGCCCGACCGTCAAGTAGCCGCCTGACTGTCAGCCTCGTGTGTGTTACCTTTGACTGAATCGCCTCAGTCAGCATAGCTATGCGATGAAGCTCATCTCGGAGGCTACGTAGGCCATCAGCAGCGGACGCCTGCAACCAACAAATCACGGGAAGAGAAGCACGTTTTCTCTGCGGTCTTTGTGGTCTTCCTCGCAATTTGCCTCCGCTGACCGGCTGGCTCGCCCCAGTGTTGCTGATGGCAGGCAGATCCAAGGCAGACGAACCAGCAACACGCTCATCTGCACAGCGCACAGACACGCGCGAAGCCATTACTGGTGGGGGAGGCGCTGCTCGCCTGGGTGTTTTTCACCTGATTCCATCGGTAGCCATCCAAAGAACGGCCTCCTCAACAGGCTGTTCGAGGTTGTGCCGCCTCTCCGACAACCCGCACGGCCCCTGCGAAACCCTTGACCCTGCAAACCCTGCGCTAGAAAACCCTGCACCCGATTCAGAGTGGTGAAGGGAATGATGGCAGGTGAAGGTTCGAGTGATCAGCTGATAGTGCAGTTTGTCGACCCCGATGGCGCAGCAAACGGACCGCAGGTCGACCTGTCCATGGAGTGAGTGGACGCTGCAGCGAAGGACACGACGGGAGATGCGGAGGGAGCAATTCATTCATGGAAACTGCGTGTGCTTGTGGTGTGCTGACTGTGTTGGCTGCAGGACGACGAAAGATCAGCTTGAGCAGCTGTTGAACGAGCTCCTCAGCAACGAGGAGAAACAGCCCTACTCATTCACGCTCGACGACAACACCGTAGAGGTGTGACAGAATCTCCACCTACATGCTCACACAAAGATCCATGTGTGTGTGATTCTGTCCCGCAGATCTCGACAACATTGCGCGAGAGTTTCGCTCAGCTCAAGGGTCATGCGGGTTCGTCGGAGCGTGTTTTGCGCATCACTTACCACCCCCTCGCCGCCTTCCGCGTGCGGCCCGTCACACGATGCACCGCATCGCTGGAAGGTCAGTCAGCACCAAACATCGTCACAAGCAGCCAGCCATTCATTTCATCGTGTGTGCGTATGTGTGTGTGTGTTCAGGTCACACCGAGGCGGTGCTGTGCGTGTCCTTCAGTCCGGACGGCAGGTCGCTCGCGTCGGGGTCGGGGGACACCACGGTGAGGACGGCCAGACGTGGATGGATGGATCGATGCTCGCATGATGATTGAAAGACACTCATCTCATCTGGCTGGCTGCCTGTGTGTGTCAGGTGCGTCTGTGGGATTTGGCGACCGAGCTGCCGGGCGCGACGTGCAAGGGCCACACCAACTGGGTGCTGTGTGTCGCCTGGAGCCCGGACGCTACCAAAGTCGCATCAGCAGGGATGGTACGTGGGAAGCAGGGCGAGAGGAGACAGACAGCCGCAGCCTGCCACTGTCCTGTATTATGTGTGTGTGCATCTACGTCAGGATCACAGCGTGCGTGTGTGGGAGCGGCCGAAGGGGACACCTGTGGGGGTGCCGCTCAGGGGACACTCGGGGGTGAGAACCGCACGGAGACACGGGGAGGGAGAGGATCGGCCGATATGTGGACGCTGCTTCTGTCATTCCCATGTGTGTGCAGCCTGTGACGTGTGTGGTGTGGGAGCCCCTCCACTTGGTAGGCAGGAGCAGTGACACCGACGCCTCACGCACAGTGCCCAGACTGGCCAGGTGGGTAGGTGGACCGAGCAAGAGGGGGGAGAGGAGAGGGGACGATCGAATTCGATCTGACTGACACCTTTGTATGTGTGTGTGTTTCGTGTTATGTATGGATGTGTTGTCGTTAAGTGCGTCGAAGGACTGCACGATAAGGGTGTGGGACATTGTGTTGGGCACCACACTCATCTGCCTCTCGGGACACTCTGCTGCAGTCACACAGGTGCTGTGTGCACACCCACAACGAGCTATCTGCACACAAAACGTGACTTGCCCTTCTCGCGTGTCCCCGTGTGTGTCCGTCTGTCTGTCTCTCTCCCAGATTCGGTGGTCGGGTGAGTCTGAGGGCTTGGTGTACAGCGCCTCTCGTGACCGATCAGTCAAGGTGTGGAACCCTGACAACGGCAAAATGACCAAAGAACTAAAGGGTAAGACAAAATCAATATAGAACATCTGCATCTTTCCCTCCCGTGATCCTTATCGCTTGGCTGTTGGTCAGGTCACGCCCATTGGGTCAACACGCTGGCCCTCAACACCGAGCACGTCCTGCGGAGCGGCCCATTCGACCCCCAAAACCCACAGGCATGCGCTGTGCTGTGTTCCGCTGTAAAAGCTCAAGTGGGATGCATTGCAATGCATTACGCGTCTGTTCTCTGCGTCAACGATCCCCTGCAGAGCTTTTCACCGTTTGATGCCATGCGCTCGGCTGCGCAAAGCAGATACGATGAGGGCGTCAAGGCGGTGAGAAAGACGTCATTGCATCCATTCTCTTCCTGTACGTGTGTGTGTTGTGTGTTGTGAATTGTATTGTGTGTTGTGTGTGTGTGTGTGGTTTCTCGTGTCAGTGTGGTGGAGAGCGGCTGCTGAGCGGTTCCGACGACTTCACAATGTTCCTGTGGCAGCCCGGCGAGTCGCGCAAACCCATCTGCAGAATGACCGGACACCAAAAAGTCGTCAACCACGTCAGCAGGGACCCTTGACCCACCGAACACACACATGCCAGGTCACCTCCATGCATCTGTATGTCGATCCGTCACCCATCTGCTCAGGTCAGTTTTTCCCCCGACGGCCGCTTCATCGCCTCGGCCTCATTCGACAAGTCCATCCGGTCAGTCCCTGCAATGCGCTGCTGGTCAGAAGGGATTCCTGTTGTGTGTGTGTGTGTGTGTGTGTGTGGTACATTCAGTTTGTGGGACGGGAAGACTGGCAAGTTCATCGCGACTCTGCGAGGCCACGTGGGAGACGTGTACCAGGTGTGCTGGTCGGCGGACAGCCGCATGCTCGTTAGCGGCAGCAAAGACAGCACCGTCAAGGTGGGCAAGGCAGCCACTCACCCACCACGACCGGCGCGAGAGGAAAATGCCAATGGTGTGCATGGCATGAATGCGTTTGTAGGTATGGGACATCTTGAAGCGCAAGCTCCGTGAGGATCTGCCAGGCCATGCCGACGAGGTCAGACATGCGCGCAGACGCACACAGGGAGGGATGGAGGGAGGGAGGGCAGAGGGACCAGGACAATCTTACTTCGATGTCTTTCTCTCTGTGTCATGTGTGTAGGTGTACGCTGTGGATTGGAGCCCAGATGGGGCACGAGTGGCGTCGGGTGAGCCGAGCCACAAAAAGAAACAGCACTGGCAGCCATGTGTGTGTCTGTCTCATGGGTGGTGTGTGTGTGTGTGTGTGTGTGGTCGGTTGTCTTCATTGCTCAGGTTCGAAGGACCGCATCCTCAAGATCTGGAGACACTGACTGACCGATGAAGTGACTGACTGACCGGCCTGTCGGCTTGCCTTGCTTGTGAGTGATGGATGATGGCTCAATGTGAGTGACTACATGAGTGTACAGTGAGTGCACAGGACAATGACCGGACGGACAACGACTGACACAAAAAAGTTGTTGCCATGCAATGCATCATTGTTGATCCCTCCCCTTACGCCACAATGACACGATACAGCGCACATGCGGTCCGGTCCGTGCGGCACGTAGTTTGTCGAACCCTGTGTCCCTCCCTTCTCCCGTCTGGCTCTCCCTCTCCCTCCCTGTATGTCTGTCTATGGCCATGCCCAGTCCTCGGGCTTCCACGCCACCTTGGGTGCCCAGGGGGGCTTCCAGTCGGGGCCGTGCCACGTCCACTTGCGGCGCCAGTTGCCACGCTCCTGAGCCACCAATCAATGCCACACCATACACCAAACACAGACAGCTCAAACCAAACCCCGTGTGTGTGTGATGTGTGCGGTGCGTACCCTTCTGCCGATCCCTCCGAAGGCATTGGTGCAGGGCGGGATGCGACGCATTACCTGCGGGCCGTCGGGGTGGCACAGGGCGTCCAGCTTCGCACGAGCCTCCTGCATGGCCGGGTGGGACCCACCTGCACAGGCCAACAAGTGAGAGAACAACGAGTCAACGAGCCTGCCTCATTGGCCGCTGGGGCACACACATCTACCCAGAGCGGTAGCGAGGTTCTGAAGCATAGCTCGTGAGGTGAGGGCGGTCCTCTCGTGGTTGAGATGGGACACCAGACGGCCCTTGGATGTGTCCAGACGGTACCCCTGACGGACGGACGTCACAAATGAATGGGGTGGAACCGTCACGTCACAGAACTCTCACCCACAGGCACCGATAGGCTACCTACCTGGATGGCATGGTCGAATGCGTCATCGTAGCGCCCCTCTCTGCATTGCAAACATCAGTCAGACCAACAACACAAAGCCTTTCCACGCGTCCCGTCCACCTCTCGGCTGCCTGCCAGCATGGACACACTCATGCGAGCGCACCTGAAGCACTTGGAGGCGGCGATGCGATGCAGCCTCACGAGCCGCTCTTCGTCGCTAGTGAGGGGCTCAGCTGGCGGGGCGAAAGTCGCGTCGGGCGACGTCTGGGTGATGCTGCGACGAAGGGACTGAGTCACCGAGAAGGCCAACTCTGCATAAACACACGAACAACGAAAAACCTTCGGATTGCCACACACAAGCGGCTCTTGTTTGTGATGTGGTATCCTATCCCTACCTGTCTGGGGTTGCCTTGTGCCGTCCTTTTCGGCGTTCTCCGGCTGCTGTGTCTGTTTCCGTGCTGGCAGCAGGGGATACTCGACATCGCCGCCAGCCGACTCGAGGCTGCCAATCTCCTCAAGGACACCCTGTACCCATGATGGATACGATACAGACAGAGGCCTCACACACAATGGGGCACATGGGCGCGTCTGATGCTCACCGTCAGCGTCATCGAGGGATCGTCTGAGAGCAGCACGGCTGCTGATCCAACCATTCGCGCATGCTGCAGCAGACACAACACAAACCACATCGACAGGAGGGAAGGGATGTTTCCCATTTATATGGATGGCGTGTTGTGTTGTCCCCCGTACCCACCCTCGGAGCTCTGAGCTCTTCTGGGAAGGTGTCGATTAGGTCATCGAGCTCTTGCCTGAGCTGCACCAAGTCTATCGGGTTGCGGCAGTAGGCCGGTCCGACCGTCAGAGCCACTGAGCGAAGTAAGAGGTGACATGCAAGTGGTCATGGACCCGTGTGTGTGATGTTATAGGGCTGCTATGCCATGCTTACGTCGTTCGAGAGCCACTCTAGCCTTGGTCCACTGCTCCCATTCATCGTTGGCCTGAGTGTGGCTCTCCAACTGATGGATGGATGACACACAGGAGGAAAGTCAGCTCGCCTCTCTGCGTAGTGCGCCTGTCTTATTTGCCTTGATTAGCAGATTCTGAGCCGCGGCGATGTCCCCAGCGCCGGAAGCGTCCTCACAGCGCCGCCACGCCCTGTGCATCGATCCATTGAAGGATTACATCACCTCTGCAGCTGTCCAGCCGAAGCCGAGGATGACCAGACTTACCCCTTCAGTGAATCGTTGTGGCCCCGAGGCTCCGTCACGTAGGTAGACGAATGCTCCAAGAACCGGGCCGCCTCCGACTCAGAGAAACGACCCGACAGCTCTGGTGTGAGTGAGGAAAGGGCGAGGCGATGTCCATTGATGGTTCCCGTCCTGTGTGTGATGCCACCCACCCACGTGTATGAGGTGCCTACCCGCTGTGAGTTTGCCTTTGTAGATGAACTGGATGGTGGGGACGGTGCGGATCTCCTGCCTCGAGCACACCAGCGGGTTGACCGTCACGTCAAACTGACCAAATGTGAAGAAGGGGAACTTCTCGCACAACCGCTGCAGACCATTGCAGAACTCCACAGAGGGCCGGGACCACCTGAACGCACGAGAGAATGAATGACACGAAAGCTCTCGAGATGAATGACATCCACAAGAACATCATTGAATGATCTTTCTGTTTTCTCACTCAGCGTATGCTGCGATGACGCATGGCTGTCCGCTGCTGATGATCTCGGCCTCGAACACGTCGTCCGTCAGCTCCCTCAGCCCTCGTGCTGCAGCCAGGTCTACATCCTGTGCTGCTGTGGCAAAGCGTCGCGCTGCTTGGGCTGCGATGAGTTGAGGGCTGCTGCAAGGGCATCTGCCTGCAATGCGCACAGGCAGCATCGGCCAAAACTTCACGACCCCCCAAAAGCACCAGCTGGGGGAGTGCTCTAGGCTACTTTTTCTCCGTGCGCGAATCGCGTATGGCGGATGGCGTAACGGACTTCATGAAAATGCCCTCCTGGAAAGCGGAAACTTCGTGTGCTGATACTGAGCTACATGACGGCTCACCGAGATGTCTTTTCGGAAGGAGAAAAGCTCGTGCATGCATCGAAAGCTCGCCTTTAAGCTCGCAAGTAGGATGAGTGTTGCGGCGTGGTTTTGACACAGGCGACGAGCCAGATGAGCCAGACGGCTTGTGTGGTCGACCTCTCTCTTCCTCGTACAAGGTCCCACTCGCCTGCCCGATGGCAAATCCACATGGT